TTTACTCAATGTATTTTTTTGAGAAAGGGTAAGGATATGCTCACCTTTTTCATTGTTAGTTTTGAACTGGATATATTTTGGATACTAAAGCTGCGACCAAAGGAACTATACCCCGGAACTAGGAACCGTTGGAGGAACTCACCACGTTTCCAACAGAGGGACCAGGGTCTAAATTTAGTTCTGGGGTCTTCATTTTACCCCCCAAAAGTCCCTGCTTGGGATTATTACTTTCCGAATGTACCAGTACTTTGGGGGATGGGCTTGCCTGGCAGTGAAATTCTGAATGGGCAAGTAAAGGCTACTGGCTTTAACTGGAGATTGTTTGGTGTTTTTCTCTTTTCCACTGTTGTTTGCAAACCAATAAATCACAATCAACAGTCAAATAGCACACACGTCTCACCGATGTCCGCCTGAGATGTAGCTATGTTGCGTTAAATGCATTGCTCGGAAATAGCAGCCAACTGCAGTAGTGTGTTTACAGCGAACAGCTGATGGAGTTAAGCTAAATACTGGGTCCTGAGTTGTTTTAAGTTTTCATCAGTCAGGATTTTTTACAGAACTGAAGTCGGTCTTCTCTTCTCCAAACAAGCAGAACAGCTGATTACAGTAGGTAATAAAGCTTGTTAAACATCACGCTCCTCCGACTCAGGCGGACACAGCCATGAGTCCTGCTGCCGGTCTGCAGCTTTTGTCGGCTGGAAATGTTGTAATAACCTTCCAAACTGTAACGATTTTCTCTTAAACTTTATCGCATCTCTTCATTATACTCCCACACAAACTGTTTTTAATGGTCACACAAAGCCTATAGTTTTTCATTATATTCCAATCAAATCTAATGTTCATTTATAAATTTTGCTCATGGATAGTGGTTACTAAATGACGCCTGTGTATCTCTTTGTACGCAGTATAGGCCTACAGACTGGTTAATTTGCCTAATCTTCGCAGGTCTTTAGACCACGGTGGAAACGCACACAACAGTGGGCGAAAGGAACCTTTTAGTTCCTTGAAAAGAGATCTGGGGACTTAAAAGTCCCCTGTACTTTTGGTCGAAAAGCGGATTAACATTGAAAAACAAAATACACTTTGTACTGTGCATCATTCCCTCTATAGCACCAGAACACCCATCTCTGCAGTTCTGCTGAGCTTTTTGTAGGAATGCACTGAATGTTCGGCCACCGAAAGTAATCGGCCGAAAATAGCAAAAAAACACTTTCGGTATTCAGCCTAATAAGTCAAAAGACCAAAGAAAATTTACCGAACAATTAGGTTGACATGTCGGCAGTGTGGAAGCATTTTGAAGTGTCTGAGAAAGACGCAAAAATCGCTGTTTGCAGACACCGTTCTGCTGAATTGTCTCCTACCACATCCACTCCATCTGTGGCTGACTTTTTAGAAAAGGCATGTACATGTGTCCATTAAAAGTGAACTGACACATGTAATTTAATTTACCAGACCCTCTCCAAATCCTGTGGGACACACTGAGAAAAAAGCACATTTCATTTATGCAATGGTAAATATCATTTCAGTACATCCCTAGCTTTTTGTAGCCTCTTTCAGCTCAGTATTTGTTTTTATAGCACATTTGTTTACTGTATGTTCATCCTCAGCAACAAATCTCCAATAAGCACAGTGCCCGAATGGCAGGCCCGGGTTCCACTCCAGCCCTGCATGTTGTCCTCTCTCTCCCCTATTTTCCTATCTCTCTATATCCTATCTGGAATAAAAAAATAAAAAATAAGGCCCAAAAAATTATTATTCAATATGTTTCAGAGAAAATAATTCCTTCCCAAAGAATACAGAGGTAAATAGATGTGTTGAATCATTTCTTTATGTAACGTGGCCACGGAGAGAACGCACGGTTACTCTCCCGAACTCAGCATTTCCTCTCCTTAAGTACAGAACAAGTACAAAGCAAACAACAGCCAGCAAATGGTAGATGAAGGATGAACAAATGAGTATTAGCATACACTCAAAAACTCTTCCTGAGCTAAGAAAGGAATGCAAATGTATGTGGCATCAGATGTTTCTGTCTCTTGATTGGTCTATGTTAAACTCTCACCTACATGCCAGCAGATGTTTATTGTAAATCAGCAACCTTTTGCTTAGGATAAAAACCCTGTGACCAATGCTTATTCTCACAAGTTATTACAGTGAAATCCTAAAATCAGCTACTTATAATGTATTTCTCACAGCATAGACCAGGTTTTTTGAAACCAGAAGGCGAGTAAATCAGTATAAGCCATTGATATGGTGGTAGGCCATATAGCCTTCTGGTAGCCAAACTTGATTTTGGCTTTAAGGAACAAAATGGTCTATAATCTTTGTTTGCTGCCTTACCTGGAGTCAGATATGAAGATCAGTATAAAGTAAGGAAGAGGTCCAGCACTTGTTTAGGCTAATTAAGCTTAAGAGTAGGGTAACCACTACCTTTCACAACTCCATCTATTTTATACTTGTAGAAACCAAAAACGTGGCAGTGTGGTCTGACGAGCAGTTACCTTATATTCTGGAGCTATTTCTTGACCCACATCACCTTGCTGCATTGCCCGCTTTCAGCATTTAAAAATTCACATTTAGCACAATGCAGTTGACTCCTTTTCCCACAATGTTGTAACTCTGAGCAAAACAACTGGTGACTGTGGCTGTTAAGATTTTGTGAATTAGGTTTTTTGTGTATTTTTTTCACTTTGGATGGATATTAGCAGTTTACTTCTGCTTATAGTAATTGTGCTATGCTAATGTACAAACGTCCTGGACCTATCTCTGTACTGGACACAAGTTCTTCAACAATTTCAGACATATGCTTGCTTGATGACTTGATGTGGAGTGTTCCTTTTTTCTCCAGGAGTACAATATCTCCATGTTTTTATGGCTATCATGACTTGACTCTACATTCTTTTGCTTTTCTGAAATGTTTTTGACAGGTACGCCCTAACCTAGGGCACTGTACCCTTTTTCTCCCATTTCTGTGCATTATATTACTCATTTTATCCCATATCCAAGACCCCTCCACCCTTCTTCTCGCTTTTTGCTCCATGTCACAGTGGGAGCGTGAATAATTCATTTCGTGCTGCTTGCTGGTGGAGATGAATCATGTGTGATGAGCAGAATACACGTGCTCATCTTCTCTCTAAAGACCCTAGGACAAACGTGGGGGGCACTGTGCCTCCTTCACAGCTTACTGTACAGACCACTACTACTACTCTGTCCTGACTGCATGACATTACCATTGCAGCTTTCATGGCCGTTACATGTGAGCTTTACCTTTTAAAGACCAGGCATGGAGCCATCCACTGAGACCATGCAGTAGCTTCTCACAATACATTAGGGCTTCATGAATTAGCCCATAAATGATGTCTGTAGAACAGTTTTTACGTGTTTATTAGTTAACTAATCCCTTGGAACAGTAGATTCAATGTGGTGTTGATTGCTCATTTGACATTTCAAATTAACAAAAAAGACTTATCTCTAGGTCCTGTATTCCAGAGCTTTCAACTGTATCTCTTTATCTTAAGTGGATGGAGTTTGCTTGAGTTTGATGGAGTTTTTTTAATGCACATTTTTAACAAGGTGGGTTTAAAGTAATTATACTGGAATTAGCCAAAGGGTTACAAAGTCATTGTAAGTCCTGGCTGTGAAGGCATCCCAAGTCAAGACCGAGGCCAAACTTGGATTTTCTGGTCCTAGACATTTGGAATTAGGAACAGTAACCATGTTAGGCTAACTTGTTGCCAGACATGTGCTGTGGACCACAGCATATGGTAATTTTATCTAACTACAATAAACCAGGGTCACCTTTTGTGTGTTAGTTGCTAATGTGCACCACCGAGCGCGTCATGATTGGCTGCTGACTGCTTCGGAGTACATCCTTTGTCAGTAAATTTGCTGTACTCTTTTATAACATAATGTCAGCTTTGGGGTCATATAAAGTCATTCAGAGACAAAGTGGTCCAAATCAGGTTGTCTTTTTTGATTATGTCAAGTCCAGTCTAAAATCACCAGATTCGCACCTTGTCTGCCTCAAGTCCAAGTTATGTCCACATCTCTAAAAAGTAGTTGTTGCTTATTAGAAGGTTTATGCAAACTTGTTAATTAATTCTGTTGTATACCTGTAATCATTCCCTAGCAATGTATTATTAAAATATATGTTGACCTTGTTGCCATGTTTGAATGAAATACAAAAAGGGTTTGTTGCTCACTTTTTAGTGTTCTCCTGATTTTGTCCCTTCACTCCCACACAGTCTGTTTCTGTGTCTCCCACAGCACTGCCTTTCCTTAAGGAAAACTACGATTTATTACAACTTGGGTTTGGGTTTTACTTTCATAGCTACAGCCGTCCATTATGATAACTTTGTACTCGACAAAGTAATTGTAATTGCAATAGATGGGACAAAAATGTAAATAATTGTTAGTCGATTGTAAAAGTTTTAAATAAACACCCAGCTTATTCCTCTCTTGATCATCAGACTCCACATGCTCGTTCCCCCGTTGGGCCTGTTTTTAGAAATGTCACCACTACAAGTTCTCAGCAGTTCAGCTCTGTAAGATCAATGTTATCATAAATAACAAAACCAATGGCCGGAGCTAAAACAATTAAACTCTATTTGTAATAAAACGTAGTTTCCCATTAAAGCCAGCAAGTATTTGTCTAAGAGCAAATGCATTCATTCAACAAAATGAACTTTGCTGTGTTCCAAGAAATGTTTACATGATATCAGCCTTAAATTGGCTGAAGGTAATTGTTCCATTGATTGTGAGTTAGTTGATGCCTAAAACTTTTGCTGCTGAAGCATTGTCAGCTTTTTATATTCAATTATTAAGTGTATAAATGATCTTGGTGAAGACAGAGGGCACTATGATGGTAACAAACGCAAATGATTCAACTCTAGCAGCTCAGGTAGCGGTAAAGGTTGCTGGTATTGATGGCGGGAATTATAATGGGTGTTGGCAGTGGTGTCTTCTAATGCTCTTCCTCTCCTCTTTCTTTGTTCTTCTCCCAGATTAGTCGCTGCTTGAAGCCTGGAGGACGGTTCGTCTCTGTAACCTTCGCCAACCCCCTCTTCCGGAAACGCCTCTATGCTCGCACCATGTACAACTGGTCAATTAAGAAGTACAGTTATGGAGAAGGCTTTCAGTATTTTGTGTATGTCATGACCAAAGGAGAGGAGCTTAGCCAAGAAGATGCAGCTTTGGAGAAAAAGCTACTGGAAGACGCCAAACCCCCACCTACCGCAGTCACCACAACAAAAATGAGGATAAGGAAGACTACTTGTCTAATATTGACTTGTAAAATAACTGGATTATCAAAAAGAGTCTTAGAAATACATAATCCCTCAGAGATCTGTATGTAAGATCTTTATCGGATAATGACATCAGAGAGTCAAATTTCCCCACCCTCCCAAATACAACAGAAATTCCCTCTGTTACCCCAAATTTTTGAAATGTGTCATTATTATGTGATTTTTATAAGAATTAGCTTCAATATATCTTTTGGACATGTGTGAGGAATGATAATAGTGGACTTTATACTGGATTTAGACTACACACCACCAGACAAATATATACGTGTGTGTGTGGTGTGTGTGTGGTGTGTGTATGTATATACACACCTCCGGCTAAATATGTAAACTGTAAATTCACTTGAGAAATTGTTAAGATAAGACAACAAGATGAGAATGGCTGTGTTAAACTAAAGACTATTTAAATATATTTTTAAAAAATACAGTACTTCACAAATGTACAGTCATTTTCAAATGTTACTTCCCCACAGTAGTACAGGAAACAGTAAGAAACTTGAACCACCAAGAAAAAAACATGTTTGAGACTGCTGAAAAGATGACATGTGGTATTTATTTATATGAATAGACTGTTTACACAATTTGCATAGACAAAATGGTTCCCTAAACATGGGAAGAGGACAAAGTGATTGTGCCAAATCAAAGAAATTAATAAAACTTACCCTAAAGAACAACCTAAGCCCAGTGATTTAAACAAAAAGTCACCTACGTGTGAAAATGTAGACTACCCAAATTTACCTTCCCCCATGACTAATCATGGTTTTTCTTCTGTATGTGTCATCATTTTCTGAAGCTGCTACTGTCACTGTTCTAGTGCAGTTCACAATAGAAACCTTTATCTTTTTATAAAGCAATTTTACATGCCAGTATCCTTAACTGTTAACCTATACAGTACATCAGAAAGATCCGGCAGTCTCTAATTCTGTGGTACAGAACAAGCCTGCCAGTGTTACACAATTTGCAAGACAAACTGGCATGTCTAGACACAGCAGCATCGGCCTGCATGTAAAATCTGTGTTTAAGTCTATTAATATGTCAGTCAGATTCTCCCTTTCTGTTGGGGCTGTCTGCATCTATCTCATGTCTGCTTTAGATTTCAGGCAGAAGTTGCTAATAGTGATACGCAGTGTTTTGACACCCCTGCGTGCTGTTTGTTGAGGAAACATAAGATGAGCCTTGGGTCCTGTGCTTTCTGCTGCTTAAATATAGACCAGAAAGGGGAGAGAGAGAGACAGAGCCAGGAGTGAAGACAGGCAGGAAGGCTGGTGACTGGAGGGGGGACCACATTGATAAAGCAGAAATCATTTATTTTTAATTCTCCACTGAGATCTAATTACCGCCTATTTTTAAGACTTGGGAAGGTGTGTGATTTTTCAGACGGCTCGTCTTTCATTCAGTGATTTTCATGGTAGTTTGTTTAACTTTGATGTTGTCTCAAGGCAAGGTCTATTTAGTAGCTGCTCTGGAGCTTTTGATCATATCACACTGTCTTCCGGAGCAGATGGAGATTGCCCTGTTGTCATGGAATTGACTCTAGTCTGAACCCCGCCCCCTTGGTTAGTGTTGTACGCTTGTCAAGCTTTGTGTGCTCACAAGACAATTATGCACTCTTAAAGGATAATGGCTACCACATGATATTTAACAATGAGTCCTTGATTTCAGTCAGAAATCAACAAAAGCGGCTTTTCATTCCTATCCGGCGGCCAATGATTTTGGCAGCTGAAATACCAACTGATTTTATCAGCTGTACGGTAGCTAGTTAGCCAATTAAGCTAACATTAACTCCATGATGTTGGTTAAAAAGGCTGTCCCCTCCTGACCTTTTAATGTTTCAAGCTGACTCATTTTTATAATGTGAATTTTGTTATCAAGGTTTTAATCATGTACTTGATGACTACATTCCTGTTACATGCTAAAAGACTCAGGCTAAACCTGCATGCAGGCTAAAAGTCTGCATCCTCACCGGTTAATAATCCATGTAGAAGTCATGGATGTAGAGCTAGTTAGTGCCAAGATCAGACTTACTTTGTTCTAACATAACCCTGCTTTTCAGCTGATCTTACACACAACATTACACAGAGAAAAGCCTTTAAGGAAGAGCACTAGCTGATGTAAATAGCATCCAGGTCCCACTTCCTCACAATGGACAAATGCTACACAGTGCATGTGCTAGTTAATGTAACCTTCAATCCCACAAACTAATGTAGTTAGTTAATGAAGTGATCTTTGATGATCTCAAATACAGATAAACTTGAAGTATCTTAGTTCTGCCAAAGCACGCTAAACTCATTTTACATGAACTTCCTTGAGATGGTGGAAACTGAGGGATCGACACTGAAAATATACCCAGTTCTTTGACAAGGTCTTTTCTCAAATCATTAGGCTCAATAGTTATGCCTTTTATCTGAGGCTTTAAAGCTCTTTTGTTGGACCCAACTGAATCCAAACCGTTCTTAGACTTTGTAATATATTTCCTGAACAAGTGAATTATGGCCCACACACTGAAAAATGTCTGGGAGGAGGAGCTGGGTGCACAGATTGGGGATGAGGATGGCCTTAGCAGCACCAAATCTTGTTCTATTAATGCCAGGCATCAACTAATCCAATTCACGGTGATGCTCAGACGTATTGTTAAAAAACTGAAGTGCACAGAATCTTTCCTATCATTTCCTCTCTATCTGATAGATGTAGATGTCTGTCTGACCCACCTTTTCTGGACATGCCCAAAACAGTTATAGGTTTTTGGTGCGACATATTGAAATGCGAACAGTCAGTTTGAGATTGATCGTTAATTTTTGACCTTGGAATCAGCAGTTGACCAAACAATCTCACCACAAGGTCCATTTAGGTGCTGTTTGGTTCTGTGACTGGGCCATCTCCACCCACTGAGAGGAAGATCAAGTGATGCGATTGAAAGCTCCAGAACAGCTACTACTACTACTGTTAGCAAAGTGAAGAATAAGCTTTTTGATCTGTTGTGCTGAAAGATATACAATGTTCAGATTTTCATCTTTGTGTGTATTTTATACTACCGTTACTTAGTTACACTAACTAAAAAAAAATAGTTTTTTCCCCCGTTATGTACACACACTGTTGCACATATTGAAATGTATCACTGTCAGTAAGTGATGATCTCACAGCCTGGCACCTATTAGGCTTTGCAGGGCGAATGACAGGAGGGTGCTTATGTAAGTAGTAGTGGGTTTGATATTGATAACAGAGGGGCTTAGGGGTGCAGACTACTGCAGCACTGGGGGACACTCGTGTGGATGGATGGAGGCTGGGTTGGTCCCTGCTCATGGAGAGTTTTGCTCTATTTTCCCCCTAAAACCTGATGACATTTTCATCACTTTCACCTCAGTCCATTCTTCCATTTCTGCTCTGTCAATATATTAAGTTCAGCAGTCCTTACATTTGGTTTTTGCAGCTCCCATAGTCAGATTGACTGATGTGCAACGGCAGATAACCCGACAGTGAGATTTAACTTGACTGGACTTAAGTTATAGCCACAGAGCAGGGCATGGGCCTCATCCAGGAGAGCTTTAGTCATCATTTTCTCTTAAAGCTCTTTCGTCTTGTGTGTAGTTTTGTTTCTTCAGCAGATCACCTGAGTCATCCAGGCGTGTGAGGCCATGATTTAATATAGAGAGCTGCGCATTTATGTGTGTGTGAGATAGTACAGCCAGAATATTTTATCCTGCTGCTAATTGTCCTCCATGCTCTGTTGCCCAAGGGCAACAACAACACTAATCTACTGCATGCTCAATGCCTTTCTCTCAATCTGTCTGTATTTCTGTCTCTCCTTTTTTTCCTCTCCCAGTCACTCTTCTCACCACCACCCTGCCCTGTCTGTCTGCATCGACTGGCCCTGAGTGCTTTGGTGTGTGGGCGATATGTAAGAGCTCATGCAAGTCAAAAGGTCGACTGCATGCTTTATCCAAAGATCTCTGGGTTTCAACTGCCACATTGCGTGTGTTTAGACTGAATCACGACACAGCACTGCTGCCTGTCTGTACCCCATTAAACTGCCTACTTACTGCAGCGACTCTGAAAGTCTCCTCAGTGATTCTTAAAGGGAAATCCTGGTTTCTTACAAGCAATCTCCTATTTTTGTAGTTTTGTTCTGGGAATGCAGCAACATTACTAAAAATACATCCAATGGGGCACGAAACACGATCAGTCAGACAATCATACAGGTTTCAAACAAACCTCCTGGTAAGTCAAATTTATTTGGAAGATAAAACAAAGGCAAACTGCAAAATTATTACCCAAACTGCCTGTGGCAAACATCTGAGACTCTCCTTAAAAAATGAGTAAAACTCTCTACAGCAAATAGAAAACCAACCTACTGTGTTTATTATTTCACCTCTGTTTAGTTTTGGCAAATTGTGTTTTGAACACTGCAAACGAATTCAAATGTAACACGACATCCATTGTGAATATTCATAAAAAACATTTTAATAAATCAGCCTTTAAAACCACATTTAAAGTTATTTTCAATGCACAATTACTTTACAGTTTCTTTGTGTGTATGTGTGGTCTGCTATTAAAAAAGTGTGTGAGATATACTATATATATATATATATATATATATATATATAATATATATATATATATATATAATAAATAAAGGTAGAATTTTAGGCATACTTGCTTTTGGTTTTAACTTCAAATTAAATGGTTTTGATCAGGGGTTCCCACCTTTTATAAATTTGAGGTGATTAACTGGATAGGAAAGAATGAAAAACATATTTCTTCTACAAAAAATGAAAAGAAACTTAGTTTTAATTTTTATTTTTAAATACTGGGCATGTTTACCCTTTCAGGCTTCCAGAAATGATTAACTTATGTAGCAATGTTGCTGCATCTCAAGATATCTGCAATTACTTTTTTGAGTAAAACTTTATCAAACAAGACAGTAAATATCTTCCAAACTATGAAAATAAGACCCAAGCTGAAATAAACTAAAATTTTCCTCTAATCTACACCCTGTGTAACCAGTTCCAACAGACCAATATAGATAGGATAGATTGAAGTAGTAGTGAGGACCAAGAGAAAGCATTGACACTGCTTTCTATAGCTGTATGTCTGCCCATCTCCCTTAGGGCAGCATAATATACTGTATGGGCAGGCTTATGTAACTGGAGGAGGAATATTAATGGACGTCCTCTCAGGATGGGGCAAAAGTGGAATCGGTACAAAGCTCTCTGTCCTCTCTGCACAAGCTCAGTTTGAACCTATAACTGAGATTTGCTCTTAGCTGTGTGTGTGTGTGTGTGTGTGTGTGTGTTCATGTGTTTAAGAGATAACCTAAGAAGGAAAAGAACAATGGCACTTAAAATTTACAGTGGTGTCTCTGTGCTGCTGCTTTAGCATTTTGTGTGTTCTGCACAAACGTCTACATGTCTGGCATGCTTGTTTTTCCATCCAGTCGTTCTGTGTGGTTACACAGCGACTGTCCATTATGGAGACATCTACAGCATGTCTGCATTGACCCCAGTATGGCCTTCACTCCCAGCCCATCTGTCAGGTCAGGACACAGAAGCCACAAAGACCCCAGGTTAAATCTACTGCTCCACTGGCCTCAGACCATGAGAGACGCAAATGAAATGACTGAATGTACGTCTCATCAGAAGGCAGTAGCTCATTAGTTTAGAGATTTGTTTTGAGATGTTCCAGACATCCTACATTAATCTGGCTTTATCTTTGTCTTGTTGTCAACAATTCTATTAAGAGACCAAACCAACAATGATGTTATCCAGTTAAAAAGTGTAGCATAAACCAGATGATGCGTGGCAAATTAAAGAAAAAAAATCTGAATAAATAAGTAGAGATGCTTCCACACAGGACACAAGGGGTTACTGAATGGTAACTAACTACGCTTTTTTATACACCAAGGAGCGTAAAGCTACTGGAGGTTATTGGTGGCCCAACACCTTACTAAGACACTTACTTTATGTTGGTTTTTCCTTTAATTTGTCACCCATCTGTAACCAATATAGTTTATTCTTCCAACTAAACTAGCAAAGCAGTGTGAACACAAAACTGCATTCTTGAGCATGCTTGGTGACATCTGCATGACAATGAGTTGCTCTCCAGAGATTGAAAATGAATTGGATGTGGTAGAATTAGTTTCAGATGGAGCCTGACTGATACTGGATAAATGAGTCGAATATTGATATTTTAGAGTTTAAAAAAGCTTTACAAAATGGCCAATTTTCACTTTTTTATGTAAACTCATAACGTAAATAAGGCAATTTGGATATTCCTTAAAGCAATAGTTGAACAATTTGGGAAATGTTAAATACGGAAGTGCTACGTTCTGAAGCCAGTAGCTAGTTAGCTTAGCTCAACATAAACCTGAAAACGGGAGGAAACAACTAGCCTGTATCTGTGTGGTTTGGGTTAAAAGTGAAAAAATCCCTCTGACACCACAACCAAGTCGTTTTTACACTTCAGGTTCTTATGAATTAAACATGTTCAGTGGTAGGCTGCAGAGGGTTTGCTAGGCACATTTTGTTACCTCAGACAGAGCCAGGCTAGCTGTTTCCAGGCTTTCTGCTAAACTAAGCTAACCGACTGCTGGGCTGCCATGTATTCTATAGCTTCATATTTACTGTACAGATATGACAGGTGTAACATTGGAAAGAAGTTACAAATCATTTTTTAGGGAGCTTTAGAAAATGGATAATTGTTGTAAACCTTGACTTGCGGTCTTTTAATGATCACGGGGTAAATATTTTGCCTGAAAATCATAAGCTCTGTGACTCAGATGTAATGGTGCAACACGAGAGGCACAAACTGCTAGTGTTTTAGTCAAGACCGCCCAAACCAAGACCAAGTCAAGACCAGAGTTTATCGAGACTGAGACAAAACCAAGACTTTTAGGGGCTGAGACCAAGTTGAGACCAACACTGAGGGAGGGCGAGCCCGAGTAAAGACCCGAGACCAGTTCCCCACATTACATGACACACAATAAAATGTGGAATGAGATCATAGGTACTTCTCAAATTAATCTGAAAGATCCACATTCCTATTAAAGCACCCACATACACAGTCATTAACGGTAACAACACATTTTATATTTGTTTAGTTATTAGTTGCATTTGAAGCAATACGTTTTACATCCAATCAAAGTTTGGATGTTAACAAATAAATCAGACAATGCAAAAGCAATTTATTGATATTCCCAAAGTTATGGTCTTGACTGGTCTTGAAATAAAATCCCGAGTCCTCAGTGTCCGAGATCGAGACAAGACCAAGATCAGCAAAAACCATCAAGACTGGTCTTGAGTACTACAACACTACAAACTGCAGTTAACTTCAGTAAAGATGAAAAAAAAGCGAGCTTTCCAAAATGATTTAAATTTGGTTATAAAAGAAGTGGAACAGAGTGAGTGGAACATTTGACAGTTGAAAAATAAACAACGTGCTCTCAGGTGGACATGTTATAAACACTGTATAAAATTCACTGGAGGATGATCAACTCCACAGTTCCCCTCACTTGATTTGTCCGTTCTGCAGTCTTTTTAGAGACACTGTTTGTAAATGACCTCAAATATCTTTATTTCTGAGCTGCAGTTTCTTGTTACTTATCTGCCAACATACACAGACAATACGATATATCTGTGATAAGCTAACATTTTCAGAATGTACTACTCTAATAAAGCAATATGTCACCAAATGAAATTTGTTGACTGATAATGTGTTTAATGGCACAGAGGCACACAGGCACAGTTTGTAGGACAAGTCCTTTGCTGGTTTTGATCACTGTGGGACATTTGTTGATAGTAATTCAAAGATTAAATAACACCACTATTTTCCCTTAAGCCATTGTCTCTCAAGTATTCTGTAGGATTTTTGAGCCTGAAAAGAATGCAAAATTATGAAATTACAAATAAGTTTACAAGAACTTAGAACACATGAGAGAGAGTGAGAGCAATACTACTGCAAACTTAAATGAATTACTGTAAAAAAGTAAATAACATGTTCACAGTAGCACTCATGACAGTGAGAGAGGCATGGAGCAACGCTAACACAATTCAATATCTGCCCAAATATGTCAGTCCAGTTCCGGCCTTGCAGGGCATCCCATTACTGTGAAAAGTGTGTTCCCATGACCGCACACACACACGCAAGCGACAGCCACAACAACAACATGATCGATAGCGCTATGTGTTTGTTCAGTGCTCTGCTGATGTTATCAGGACAGTCAATAATCTCACTGATGGGAATGTGGTTGGTTACACTGATGACACTTTGTTGATGTTCTGTTATTAGATTGAAGTGCAATTCAGAGAAATATAAGGACCGGTGTTCATGTATTGTTGACATGTAGCTTTTTATAGATGTGTTACTGATACTGTGGATGTTTTTCCAAACGGTAAACAAACAAAACACGTTTTACCGGAAAATTCTCTTGTGTGATTACAAGGAAATACATTTTTATTGTTATCACTGCTGTGCGGGTTTGTGTACCTCAGGTGGAAGAGAGGTGATATGTACTTATACAGTATTCGTCAAGTTTTCTTCCACCTGACAGTTTCAACTCACGCTCAGCTAATATGAAAAAGACTGATGATTTGATAACAATAAATACAGTTCATACACATAATTACTTAGCAGGACAAATAAGCACACAAATAGGATTACAAATTCCTGTGATGCTGATCTTTAGTATATTTATTGTCACCTGACCTGCTAACGTCAGGGATGTTAGTTTGACTGCATGGTTAAGTTTTCCACTGACCTGAATCAGTTGTAACACCTTTTCCGATTGTTGTTTAAACTAATTAGCAAAAAGCAACAAAATGCTAAAAGTAATGGATAAATATCCAGTTTCCGCCACTCCAGATGTTTGAAGGCAAACCTGGCTGATTACTGAAGAAAAGAAAAAAAAGACACCAAGCTTTAACAAAGATCACAGGATAATAATGTCATCTGTGGATTTACATATGTTTCAGAAACAGATTCACCAAAACCACAGTGCTCTCTCTTCTGTCTGTTAAACAGGTCTTTGAAGACCATCCCAGCAATCTAATGGGAACAATGAAGGGGTGCTTGAGGCCATCTTATAGGGCTGCGTGGGTATGTTGGACATATAAACCACAGAACATGATGATTTTTGAGATATATAGGTTTTTTGTAAAATATACAGGTGATGGACGTTTTTCTTGGTGCATGAAAGTTAGCACCAACCAAAGCGAGTGTTTATAGGCCAGAGTTTGTGTTAGAGCTACTGTATGAGGACACTGTACATGTAGACTTTGATAAATGATCATGTGGCCAGCCGTGGCTCCCCCCAGGGTCTGTGGTTTAATGGATTCACTAGTGTCGGCCAACACAGAGCTGTTTAACAGCTTCGCAGATAGATCACTGTTCCTTCCTGCTCTTTAATTAAGGATCAGTATTTACTGTCACGGAGGTAATGGCTACTGATTCCAAGGGCTACGATGAAATGAGATGACTTTCAAATGCTGCAACTACGTGTATGTTCTGTTTTTTAAAAGGATCTTAAGTTTATTTTTTGTCACTGTGCTCTGTGCAGTTGTTTTTTTTTTTTCTCGTGACTTTCATTCAGAGAACAAGGCCAGGCTACTCTGATGGTTGTCATCTTCCATTGAACTATTAGTAAAAATGTCTTGGGACAAAAGCCATACCAGAGATTCACATTTACATTTTCTTTCACCATTTATTAATTCACCAAATACAGTGAAAATGGCATCATAATATACAATGACTCATTCTTAGAATGTCATGACATTTTTGTTGATTTTTTGCTTCATAAAACGATGTTTCATTATTGAAAATACTAAGGTTTCATGCACAACAAACCATATCCAGTTTCTTTAAAATAATGGTACAAAATAAACAAAATTAAAAAACAAAAAACTGTAATGTCCAAAATCGGTCAAATAACAACGTGTTATTTGAGGATACTCGTAAACAGTGCAATATACTCTAAAACTGCCATTTTCTAACAAATTCATCAACGAAGCTCAAGTCACAGTATACGATTTCTTAATAATAGTTTAACATTGATGTGTGCAAAAACCCCAGACACATTCAGTTAGTCTTTAAAAAACATCTGACCTCTGATATAGAAGGAGACCAGTCCACCAGAATCTTAGAATCGCCTCTTATGAAGCCTAGTCTCATCCTGTATATCCTCTCTGAAGTAGAAATATTTTTGTTGATGAATTGTAAGACGATAGACTAGCATATCATTTAAATAACAAATATTTAGATATAAAAATACAAATATGACTTTTGTTAAAAAGAAGCGTGCCAGGGTAAGAGTAGTGGCACCTGTGTTGGCACCGGAGTGACAGTTCATGCAAATAGATGGAGAAAAACTTCAAAATGTATAGAGAAGACGAAACACGAATAATTGCTGAATTAAAAGAACCAAAAAATTTTTTCCCATCAATTTCATGACTATTATTTTAAACATTTAGTATACGTCCCTGCTGGCCTCTGTAGATATCTGAGCATTTGAGAATGCTAAATTAAAAAAAAAAGAGAGAGGGGAAAAAGAGATATGTGCCGGTGTAAATCAGCTACAGGAAGGTGCCAACCTGCACCTTTAACCACTGATGGGTAATGCAAGAAGAAGAAGAAGAATGTAGCCTGTGGTTCAGTTTTAAACTGTGGCCTTATGCTCTTTAAGGGCCAAAAAACAAATGGGTTTCTACTACAGAAATATTCACATTGCACCATCCTCAGATATATGTTTTTACATACAATGGATCTCCTCTATTTAATAGATTCGAGAGTTTGGTTGGTCTGTGTTTAAAAATCTTAGCAGCAACAGGAATGCATTGGACCAGTGCTGAAAGGACAGCTCCCTTGAATGCACCGTCGCTGACTGGATCAACAAAGCAAAGCCTAAAGGTGGTGGTGGGGGGGGGGGGTTTGAGAGCATAGCCTACCTACTGTACAACTTATTGAAATAGGGCTGGGATTTAGCTTCAGCCTCCAGTTGCAGTATTTTGTTGCTTACAGCGCTTTTGGAAAGGAAAAAGAGATGGCCGTGAAGTAATGACAAGTTCATCCACCATTAAAGTCAGCAGAGGTTGAGATACAGAGCAGTGTCCGCCATCTCAACATCTTGCTGCGCAGCAGTAGTTAAAATCGGGATTCGTTTGGAGAATTGCCAGCAATCCCATGATAAATCTTGGTCTTTTCCAGAGTCTCTCTCTCTCTCTTCATCTCTTTCCTCCCCATTTCTCTTCTCCTTAGCCTTCTCCAATTCTTCCCTCCTTTTGCCTTTTTGGTTTTCCTCTCATCATCCCATCCTTGCTTCGTACCGTCGTTTTCTCCTGCAGTCCTCGAACATGCACAGCCGACAAGTGCTTCAAATCGGTGATCAAAATTAAAAAGTCTGCAAGGCATCGCTCATGCTTAAACGCCAGGTGAAGACTTGTCTGTCATCCCCTTCAGGACCTCGTCTATTCGGTCGTCCTCGATGACCACTGTGGAGAGAAAAAGGGTGGGGGGGAGTGGTTTGGAGTTGGGGTTACTGACACAGCTGAGATACCTGATTTTCTATAATATCCGTCAATAGTGAGGTCAGTGTGTTTTATTACAGGTCAGGATCTTTCTCCATTATGGGTTCTTATATGGCCTATAGTAGCCTACATGAATGTGTCGCTAACTCCCACTAACCAAAGTAAGTGAGAGAAAATGTGAATAAATAAATTAAAGCACTATTGCAAATCCCCGACCTCGAGCACGCGCATTTGGTGAAAACAACTCATCCCCGGTAACGGCCACGAGCCCGGCTTTTATCCTTTACAATTTAACTCTATTGTTTGATGGCTGCAGCGTGGGGTGTGTCCTTGCATGAAGGTAATTTCTCGTGCATATATGTAAACAATTTGAATGTCGTCGACAACCACAGAATCGTGCAATAAACACGTGTTGGTCCTATGGTGAATTTTAAAAAAAACAGCATTGTGTAGAATAGCCTGCATAGAACAGCAAGAATTAAAAGAGATTGTATGAATAACAACAAACTCCCTGTAGGCTACGTCTTTAAATTGCATGACTGCAAAAAAGCCTATTCATATATTTTGCTCATTTTCCACCACATAAATCATTCTGACCATCAGTTATAGTGACAACATGTCTAAGAGTAAATTCTTTATTTGAACATCATTTACCTCGCTTGGCTCTGCCGATCTGACCAAGCTTTGGGGGTCTTTTCGCCTGCGACGCGGCGAAAAAGGCGCTTGTGTCCTGCAGTCCGCAGCTAAAGGACATCTGACTGACCTCGCTGTCCGCCCCATAGCCGCTCATTTTCCCCTCGTTGTATGGCAGCACCTCGGACATTGTGGCACGATGGAGAAGGATCACCAACGCAGATAAAAAGTAGGTAAAAGTCTTCCTCAGTGGCTGTACGCTTAGTACAGCCGTAGATCCCTTTATTTGTGTGTGCAAGCTGCAGCGGTTGATGGGTCCTTTCTGTCGTGGATCAGGGGGCAGCCTCTCCAGGTCCAAGTGTTGTTGTGGTCTCTCTGTGGTCTCTGAGTGTGTTGCAGCTGCAGGGAGAGACGGCGTGTATGAGGGAGAGAGTTGTGTTCGCCTGTGTTGCTGGCTGATGTCTGGTGAGGGAGTGGGAGATCCCGGGACCATAAAGGAAACCCAAGCAGAACGGTGAAGTCATCCATCCGGGTTTGAAGTCGCGCGCGCGCGAGCGCGTGTGTGTGTGTGTGGTAGGGCACTCCGAGTGGTAGAGGAGCAAGAGTGACACCAACGGTTGAGAGAAGAAATTGCACAAGTGAAGCAGTTCTCGAGGCTCGGAGACGAAGGCTTTTCTTTATCTGAGGAAAATTCACTATTATATAGAATCGTATTGTCCGACTGGTAAAATTAATGCCGTAGTATTATATTTCCTGTTCTAGGCCAATAATGGTCCCATTATATAGTATAATTATAGGATTAGGTAGAGGTAGGCCCACATTAATTCAAGTACAATTTTCAGGTAGGCTGCTTAAACTTGAGTGTTTATATTTTTTGTCACTATATTTATTATTTACAGAAACATTTAGTAACATTTAGTTACTAGTTTCGCTACAGATGAAGATTTTACATACAAATCATGTTGATCTTAGAAAATATTGCATGTTGTTACAGATTAAACTGTGGACAGTATATAAAGAAGTAAAATTGGCTCCACCAGATCAGTTATAATAATCTAATAATATACTGTCGCCTATACAATAATAATTTTGAAACACGTTGGTAAAGGTATTTTTGATGCTTCTGTACTTAGGTAAACAGATCAGAGTATTTGTTCCACCACTGATAGTAGTAGCATGCTTACATGTGTGGGCTAAAATAAAGACTATGGGGCAAAGACATTACTTTGTAGTTAGATGTCTAGTTTATAAAATAAAAAATATAGTATACACTAAAATGTATGCAGATGAAATAAAATAAGTCTTCATTAATTGAAGGGGCACTCCACTGCACTCATCACTCACATACTCTACTCATGTTAACTAAATTAGTTATATGTGTTGTGTGGCTCTGGAGGAGCTTTGTCAAGTCTGAGAAAAGAACCCTGATGATGTCATTAGGGTTTACAGTCTACAGACTGGGGCACAGAGTTTGAAACATTTTAACCTTTATCAGGCAGAAAGGGTTTAAAAAATGCAGTTGGTTGCATTATGGGAAATGTAGGATCAGGGGTTTTTGGAGCTAGACCCACAGACTAAACTCAGGATATCACCATCTCTATGAAAGTGCATTACTAATTACTTCCCCTTTAAAGTGTTACAGCAGCAAAAGATAGTACAAAAATGAATGCATAATTGTATGGATGAGAGAAGTAACCAAAAAAAAACGGAAACTCTCAAATATGATGATGAATATATGGTTATGCACATCTACAGTAAGGAGCATGACAAACATTAGAGATTAGATGTTACATAATGATATAAACATTAAAAACTTTCCACAGAAACATACAGTATGATCCAGGTTGCATGTCAGCAGAAAGTAATCTGAATGACTGATTTCAGCACCATGGACAGAGCCTGTATCATTTATACATTAGCTGCATTTGAAATTACGTCATTCTTCCCTGCCTTCTTTTTGCAACCTGTGTTACAGCATTCTGTCCTCACAGCATATGGTGTCTCATAAAAGCTCAAACAATCAACTGACAGAAGGCCTATTATTAGACCAAACCTGTTTTAACAACTCGGGCCAGCTGTCCAGTCTATAAACATGTAACAACCTTTCCATTGAAGCAGTGTCCTCTCTTTTAGCAGCCAGTCCGCATAGCCGACCGGGTGAAAGTGACCAGCTGACAGAATTCAGATCAGTGCTGTTGGAAAGGTTCTTAGATTTCCTGCGGGGATAAGACGTGGGGAGGCTGCAGAGTCGAAGCGAAGCGAGCTCCTGCTGACTGACTTAACATAGATACATGGCCCATATAATCCTGTGTAAAACACATTACTGAGCCCCCAGAGCATTTCTGTTAACCAGCAGATAACTAACAAAACAGCCAGCCAACATCTATGTCCAAGCATGGCAAAATAGGACATAGCAATAGGAAGTTGCTAGTTGATGGGTTACAGCTCAACATAGACATCTTTATCCGAATGTGTTTTTTCTCTAACATGGACCCACACACCGTGTTTAAGGCTATATAATGCATCAGAGATCATAAACATGCCACTATCTGAATTCCCCAGGGATGACTCACAAGGCTCCTCTTGCCCATAAACGGCAGCCTGCAGCTGTCAACACGTAGAGCAGTTTATTCATGCAGGGACACCACATGATGTCATCAGTCGGCGACATAGTTGGAGGCTGCTGGGGAAAATCTGACCTGGTGCCCCACATGGCACCAGGTGCTGCTTCATGTTCACTATTTAGGGGTGAAACATGCACGTGTTGGAACAGCTGGACACTCTTCTTTCTTACCCCTTTGCCCTAATAATGCACTGCCTCGTTCATAATGTTAAGCCGGAGTGCAGTGTCTCCTTCATTTGGTCCATCTCTGTTTAGTTCAATTGATCTTTCTCAGTCCGTACACGCTGTGATTTCTCCTCCACTGTGCCCTTCCCTCTCTTTCTTCATTGCTGCCTCTACAGCAGGCAGCAGTTCTTAATGATCAGGCTCACTCAATCAGCCATTTATCTCTGACAAGGGCACCCACCCTTAAGAAGTGTGTGTGTGTGTGTGTGTGTGCTCTTAAAGCACTGCCTCCAATTACAAATGAATCACCGTGCTGAGTCACTCGCCCCCTCCCCATCTCTGCCCTCGAGCACACCAAGCACTGCTGAACTTACACACACACACACACATTGTAGACACACTATGTTCTTCCTTGAGGAACAGTAGCTGAGTAAAAAAACTCAATAACAAGTGTAGAGCTAAGAGCCAGGATCAATTCCCTGAGTATCAGCTCCTAGGATTTGCAGGTATATATTTCCGGAAAACTAAAAATGTAACCGAGAAGTGTAGAGACACACACCATCTGCAGTCAAGGACAAAATAAAAGCACAGTGTATTCTCATAATGAAGATTAATGCTGTTTGTTTTACTGCATAAACATCCTCCAATAGATTGTGGGAACATTGGCAGAGCTCCTGCCCTTGGATCAGTGAGCACACAGCTGAGATAGAAATTCTCACAGCTGCAGTCTGCAGCACGCTGATGCTACACCGAGGCAGCTGTACACTCCACCTCCCGCAACTCGATCAAAGGTGAATGTTTCATGTTGTTCAGTACCACGTCTGTGGCTGATTTTAAAAAGCAAAACCTGACACTAAGTTCTGTTCTAAGACTCATGTTTCTATATTTCTTTAGTTGTTGTATGTGGAAGACAGGAGTGATATGACAAATAATAAAGGGTGGCAATTAAAACTGTACTTAAGTACAATGCAGAGGTGTTTTTGTCATCATATCCTACTTTATGCCTCTATTCCACTGCATTTTGGATGGAAATATTGTACTTTTACTGTATTACATTTGTTATAATTAGTAATTACCATTTAAACTACATAAGTGAGGAAATATGTTTTTGTTTTTAAAAAGATTTGGGGATCTGTGTCCATTTGTCTTTTGGTTCCTGTGTAGGATAGTAAAAAAGAATGTGATAGAGATAGAATGTGGTACAATTTGGATGGTTTCACCTTCCTCCACTGGAGCAGTATTTTTGTTTTCAGGTCCCTGGGTTGGGTGAATGTGTGCAGTGCACTCAAACTGAAAAATCTTTATATCTGACCAGTGTGTATTTATCTATATGATACCATCCCTGTCTCCCATTTCTCAAGGAGGGAGCGCTTGGTTTGTTGATGAAGTGAAGCACTGCAGTCATACTGTTACAAAGTAGGTCACTTATCCCACGTCTCACTGCATGCCCAAAGCAGATGGGTGACAGCGGTAATTGGCATCAGGGACTGTAGCACGCTGTGATGGCTCTCTCTACTGAGATACCGCATCTCTACCTTTCCTGCTGCTGTCCCTTCAGTGTTTGCCAATGCCGAAGTTAAAAAAGACCCCTCCTCCACCCCACCGCTCCCTGTCAGGAACACAAGCACTGAAGCACATAATGGTCATGGTGTGTCAGGATTTCAAAGATTTATCAAAACCCTTCCTGCAGATCTGGAGCTATGCCATTTTCATCACTTTTTCAACACACAAAAGAGATCCATTGCAATTTACTAAACAAATAAATAAATGCACACCAAAACAGGATAATACCACATTTGTACATTTGGTGCAATTTGTATTTTACTTTTAGTGAAATTATGATACTACTGCTCCATCCAACTACATCCTTTTAACCAAGAATAAGAGTCTACAGCCATGCTAGCAGATCTGTGAGGCTGTACTTAAAAGCTGATCAATGCTTTAAGCTAAACATTGGTACACTGACATGTTCGTGTTCAACAGCTATGGTTACCATGTTCACCATCTTACCTCACTGGGTTAGCATGCTAATGTTTGCTGATTAGCAGCACTAAACTCAAACTATAGCTGAAGTTGATGGAAAAGTTAGTTAGTTTTGCAGCTATTTGGTCATGAAGCAAAGTATAGGACATTTAATTCTGGACCTGATGATGGCGCTATTTGAAAGTCAGGGGATCAGCAAGGTCAGTAAGTTTCATCCTCTGTGGACCATGTATGTCTGTACTGCATTACATGGTAATCCATCGAATAGCTGAAACATTTCAGACTGGACCAAAGGTCTGTGGTGGAACAGACCACATTCCCATCCCTATAAAACTTAATAAGGTTAGTTTAGTCAAACTAAAAGTCATTATAATTAAATATTATAAAAATGGAACCCCTAATGAAGTCTTAACTAACTTCACCACCACTGTCTGCACCCTCATCATCACAGATCAGGGTCTAAACCCATGAAGCATCACCAATTAGAGAATAATCATATCATCTAAATTGTTTGTCAGCTATCGGAAGGGATTTGACAGGCTATCACAGCGTACATTAATTGCATGTGACTTGGAAATCATCCACTGGAGTCAGTGTCTTCCCTCACTGTCAGCATGTACAGTAAATCTCACTACCTCAAGTGAAAAAAGATGGACACCTAGTGGTAGAATATTATATCGTATACAGAAATGGACCTAAGTTAAGCCTTAAGTAATTGTGACAATGACCAAAGACTGTGAGGACAGAGGGAAAATCAGCTTGGATCTCTGTATGAACTGTGCTTACATTAAAGCAGATTAATAGATTTTAGCCTCAATTTCAAAGCATACACTCTCTCTGAATGCCCATTTGAGATTATTCCAAACTCTTGTGCTGTAATGTCTTTGTTTTCTCTGTTATTCAGTTAAACTGGTATGAACAAATCAAATGCCACCCCCATCCAATGCCTTCAGAGGTTTGCAAACGCCACAGTAATAGTCTGTTTGCAGAGAGCCACAGCTGCTGTTCTGCTGAGAGAGCTCATGAAGAATTTGTCAAAGTGAGCCCTTATGACCGCTGAGGAACATTTATGGATCCTGTCTCCCACCTGTTCCTTTTTTCACCCCCCTACTCAGGCCCAATGCCCCACTCTTCACCTTGCACCACCCCCTCCCCAAACACATGCCTATTTGTTTTTTTCATCTATCCGCCCTTCCCCACATCTTCTAGAGATGACAGAAATAATACGCTTGATGACTCACTACACCCGTCTTTTCAGACACCAGGTGCTACTAACAAGCGTTTGTGCATATGGATAAAATAAAAAACAACCCATTATGGATTGATATCATCTTGAGAGTCCCGAGAAACACGTGTATCTATTCAGACATGAACTCCTTCCTAATATTTAAGTGGAGCAGCAGCCATTTCATGTTAACAGCTGTTCTTGGTGTGTGTGTTGAATAATATAAGCTCTGTACATACAGACTTAAAGTTTCATTAGCGCTCCATTGCTAAAACTATTTTAATCAGTGGGTGAGCGATGGTGACACTGACAGTACATATACACTACACAAATGGTTCAAAGAGTGATGCTTTATTCGATTTTCTTTTAAATTACCAACATTTAACACACTTCCACTTGATTGTAGTGTATTAATTACACCTTAACACTTATGCTTCATCTCGGCACTTAAGTAACTTCCAGTGACTCGACTGTTTAACTGAAAGTAGTTGAAACACAAACGTAGCTCCGTATGACCCAATTTATTCAGACACATATATTACAATCACTCTCAGACAGCAGCAGATATAAATTACCAAAATAAGGCACAGAACAAACTTATAGGAAAATAAATATCTCTGTTGAATAAATGTACACCCTTTCTTCCAATTAATGCATTTTCCAAATTTCCAAATTTTTCAAATGCAATTACAGATACAAGTACCTCAATAAAACTCTACAGTGAATTGTAATGTTTTCTCAATACATACAGTATGTTCTTTGACTGTTAAAGGTGTAAGTGCAGCAGTTTAGACCTTTTGATGTGTAAAGCTGATACAGTTTGTATGGTGGTGGCGTTCCACTGAGATCATATAGTCACTTGGGTGCCTCAGACATGGTAGAGAGGCACCACTCTGCTGATGGTCTGTCGACATATAGGACATTGGGGGTGCAGAAGGGCCTGGTAGCAGCTGTGGCAGCAGCACACATGCCCACAGTCCAACAGAATACAGTCACGTGGCCGAAAGAGGCAAATCACACAGGCATTTTCTATGTGTTCCTCTACCCCGTCTTGAGAGGCCTCTGGGCCCGTTGCTGGAGCACGCGCTCTTGGGGCTTCGGCCTGCAGTCTCTCAAATTCCCTCCTCTCCTGCTCCCGCGCCCACCGAACTTTTAGTTGGTAGTAGTAGCGCCGACCGATCCAGAGGAGGACCCCTGCCCCTGCCAAAACAGAGGCAATGGCCAGCGCCTTCCACAAAACAGCCGTGCTCTCTTGCTCTCTTCGTAGGGTGTCAAAGTCCGCAATGCTCAAAAAGTACTGTGAATCATTAGAAGGGGGTCGAAGATTCAGGGTGCCGTCTGTGTCCAGTATCAATTCGCCTACACCTGTAAGAGTTGTGCCCACCTGGAAAAAGAGGGGAATATTTGTGAAATGTATCATTAAGATCAGTTCTTGTTAATATTTGCCCTTGTGGTTAACAAAAAAGTATGTATGCTTTGTTAAATGAATATGACTTATAGAAGTTAACAACATCTGATCTAACAACTGACTTTGAGCATTTCCTCAGTCTCCAGTTGCCCTTTAAGCTTCTCTCCACTGAGGTATTGTCCTACGATGTCACCCAGGCCGTAATTGACCTGGTGGAACTTCTCGTGGGTGATCTCCATGTGCACTCCGGAGGCCTGCAGAGGGCACAGGACTTTGACCGTGTTCTCATTCGATCCCACTAACACAAAGGGCACTGCATTCACTCTTTGATGCAGAACTCGTTCACTGTCCGTCCTGCAACAGGTAGTGGAAGGGGCGACAGGTCAACACATATGATGATAAAGACAAAATATCATCTGCACTAAAACTCTGGTGTTGCCATGTATACATAAATATATATATAGTAAGTCTGAGACAATTAAATGACATCACATTGAACAATCTCAGACTGAGCTAACAGAAAGCCTGTATTACAAACTGGGTTGTGGAATTTAAAGGTGTTTAAACGTCAGGAAGGATCCACAGTGAGTCATGTAACCACTGACTTCTGACTTGTAAATGGCGTTCATGTCAATATCCGTTTATGCGTAGTTGTGTAATTCACACAACGGCTGGCGCCCGCTGATTTACCCCCAATCACAGCTTGACGGTCGCCAAGCTCACTGAGCGGCAAATCGGGCTAAAAATCGTGTAGTGTGAACTAGGCTTAACACTGAAGTACTACTCTATACAGCTGGATTCAAAGAACTGACACCTTTCAACCCATAGAGGCCAGTACAGCTATGTTTTTCCTCCTTCCTAAATCTAGTGTGGACATACTATTTAAGGCCCATACCCCATAAGTGTAATGTCACCGTTTCAATTCCAACCAGAAATGTTTGCTGCATGTCACAACCTTCCCGCTCTCTCCCTGTTTCCTGTCTGCCTCTAAACTTTCCACTATCTACTAAAAGCGAAGAAGGAAAAAAATCATGTGTATCATGATGCTGCACTGTATTATTGTCTTGATAGAAATCTCACCAAGTACGTGTCAGGCCGTTCCACACGAGCCTGTGTTCTGTCAACATGAATTTCTGCAACACACCAACAATTTCTTTCTGGAAGTGACTCGTCAGAGGCTCGCCCACTGGTTGCACAGCACCTACAATATATACACTCTTGAACAAAATCTTAAGACCGGGGGAAACATTGCAAGTACTCGCATTTCGCGCTGGTGGATCATAACCGGGTTGTAAGTACTGCTTCACAATGTCAAAAGAAGAAACAGGAGCAAGAGACAAAAAATGGAGAGTAGGCAATTTATTGAAAACTGCATTTAAACTCAAACAGGCTGTTCATCAGCTGATCAAAAGTTTAAGACCATAGCCCAAAAATAAACCTACAACAGAACTAAAAGTGTCAAAAAAGGACTCAGTAGTGAGTAGCCCCACCGTTCTTGTTGATCACTTCAAACACTCGTTTCGGCATGCTTGATGCTACTGTTCCCAGGAGGCTGCTGGGAACGTTGCTCCATGTGGTGAAGATGGCTTCACGAAGGGCATCCACGGTCTGGAACTGACGTCCGTTTTTGTAAACTTCCCTTGCCATCCATCCCCAAATGTTCTCAATGGGATCTAGATCAGGAGAACACACAGGATGGTCCAAAAGAGCACCGTTATTCTCCTGAAAGAAGTCCTTCGTCAGGCGGGCGTTGTGAATTGCAGCGTTGTCCTGTTGAAAGACCCAGTGATTACCGCACAGACCCTCAGTCAAGAGGGATGCCCGCTGCAACATGTCCACATAGCCAGTTGCCGTTTGACGCCCCTGGACAACCTGAAGCTCCATTTTCCCATTGAAGGAAAAAGCACCCCAAATCATGATGGAGCCTCCTCCACTGTGCCGCGTAGAAAACATCTCCGGTGGGATCTCCTTGTCATGCCAGTAACGCTGGAAGCCATCAGAACCGTCCAGGTTAAATTTTTTCTCGTCAGAGAATAAAACTTTCTTCCACCTTTCAATGTCCCATGTTTGGTGCTCCCTTGCAAATTCCAAACGGGCAAGTTTGTGGCGTGGGAGGAGACGAGGCCTTTGAAAACATTTTTTGTTCTTGAAGCCCTTCTCTCGCAGATGACGTCTTATGGTTATTGGGCTACAGTCAGCATCAGTAAGTGCCTTACTTTGGGTCGAGGATCGACCTGTGTCTTCACGGACAACCCGTCGGATCCTGCGGCTCAGTGCAGGTGAAATTTTTTTGGGTCTACCATTTGACTTTTTTGTCCCATAACTCAAGTCGGCAAGTATCTTTTAAGAAATGTAAAATGACTGTCTTAATGCGTCCAACCTTGGCAGCGATGGCGTGTTGCGAGAGTTGTGCAGCTCAACAATCCTGCCACGTTCAACGAGAGAAAGCCTTTTTGCCTTTGCCATCAGGAGATCATGACAGTGTGACTGCCTGAAGATCAATGACACGAAAGCCATATTTTTGTGCAGATTTTACCTTTTTATGCCTATGGTCTTAAACTTTTGATCAGCTGATGAACAGCCTGTTTGAGTTTAAATGCAGTTTTCAATAAATTGCCTACTCTCTATTTTTTGTCTCTTGCTCCTGGTTCTTCTTTTGGCATTCTGAAGCAGTACTTACAACCCGGTTATGATCCACCAGCGCGAAATGCGAGTACTTGTTTCCCCCGGTCTTAAGATTTTGTTCAAGAGTGTATATACACACAACAGAATGAGAGGCTAGGATAGTTATCCCATACCATGATATGATACCATATCAGTATCAGCTCAGCTCTTGTCTGAATCAGAAACAGTGAGACCCTGATTACCTTCGATGACAGCATACTGTAGACATGCTCCTTGAGTAACTTTCAAAACGTCTTTAAGTTTTCCATCTATGGTGAAGTGTGGAGCGTCCTGAAAACACAAGACACAGACACACTGTTTGTATGGAGTATACATATTGTAGTACACAGACTTTGGGTTTTACAAAATTGCACAGTGCACAGCAAAACACCTATGTCACCTATTGTCTCCTTCCAAACCTGGAGGTTTGGACCTCCAAAGGGTTTGCAAGATGGGAAAAAGAAAAAATATGTTTCTGCCACACAGCTGATTATTTTTCACTTTTCCCTAGTTGATACCTTTTTCTTTAGAATTTTTTCTATAAAAAATACTTTTAGTTTTAAATACTCTATCAAGCCTAATGGGTTGATATCAACCTGCCTAGAAGATTGCCTTCCACTAACACATTTCAGGGACATTAATAGATTGTTGTTGATCTACTCTAAAGAGGATTTCAAGCAGTATGTGAAAGCCAAAGATTGTTTACATGGTTTCACAACTAATCCCATTCCCTTCTATGGCTTAGACAGCATGAAAACAGACAATACAAATGTTAAAAATATGACAATATATAGTTATGTGAAATTATGTTCAGTACACATGATATACAACTAACATCAAGTTTATCAAGTGTCGTCCGGCTCTTCTTATACAGATAGTAGCAGATGCCTGAGAGGGCAAGGCTGGCCCCAAGACACACTGCCTCTGTAATCGTCACAGGATATCCATCCATTCCCTCTGGGTCTCCTATCACCTGCACACACAAACAATATGTAAGTAGGTCAATAAATCAAACTCTTGTTTTACTATAAACCCACAGGTACAACACTCATCCTGACTTTACTGGGACTTTCTTTGATACTTTTACAGTTTGTGTGGCATGAAGTATTGATTGATCTGAGTTAAGTGTGGAATATATAATACAATAACTATCACATATTGTGACACAGCCTCGTGCACTATATTGATTCCCTGCCATAAATGTTGGATTACATGCCTCCCTTATATTTATGATGAAAACATGCATGTTGCCGTGTGTTTAAAAAAGGTTATGACTCACTGCAGTGCTGTATAATTCTGCTGAAGTGACTGCAATGCTTTCAGTTGGTCATCATCAACCCAAATTTAAGTCAGTAAAATAACATGCAAGCAATCATGTGACGAACATGCAACGAACATGCAGGTATCATCAAGTCTCACTTCATGATACCTGCCTTGTAAAGACAACATGAGCAATGACACCAGACAGTGCAAGTGGCTGTAAACAAGATGTAAACATTATGAGTAATAATACAAATAAAGCTATGGTTAACATGTCAATGTTTACACTTGGGTAGCATGGAACTTGCCTGAGTTTGCATTTAGGAATTACTCAACTGTTTAAAGTTACTTCTTGGTGTTGAAAATATTACTGTTGGCTGACAAGGACTCCCACAGATATCCCATATTCAGATGGCTTGAATATTTAAGGATTCTGGAAATATTATCAACAAGCTTCTGCGTTTTTTTAAAGAACTACAGGTATTTATTTTTTCGAAAACTCAAATGCCTAAACGTTAGCTTTGAGGTACAAACTGAGGCTAGGATTTGGCATATAGAAGTCGTCAGGGTTAACACACTCACGTACAGATCAAACAGCGAAAACAAACGCAAAAAATAAATAAATAACGTTAAAACACGAAGACGAGCGAGAGACATTAACTGCGGTTATTCTCTACCATAATAAAACTTTAACTAAAGTTAGCTTGTTGTAACTTAGCTAGCTTCAGTCACAGCTTAAAGTCAATAATACAGTAACTGTTAATAGACAAAATAGGTAACAGTAAGCTGAAAGTCCATTTTCTACGCTGTGTGCCTGCAACTTTTCACATAATATATTCATAACATATTCAAAGAGATTTATTTTCTTTAATATTGGCTAGCTAAAGTTAGCTGCTATCCAGCTAAGTTAACGTTGCAGGCAGGAGAACCAGTAGTGACCTCTAAACGTTTTTTCCTTGCTAACGATATAATGGATGTATAAACGCATATACATATATCTTAATTGTCAAGTGCGATTAATAATACATCTGTTTTTTTTACCTGTCAGATAACAAAAATCTCTCAAGTTGACATATTCGCCTCAAGAGCGACGCATAGACTGTGGAGCGACGTCCATGTCACGTGACGTAGGTGGTGAAAACCAAACGTTGGCGTCACGTGACGACGTATAACAGCGCATGTCAGTTGGGGCCTCTCCATGTCTCTATGCCGCAGAGATGGCAGGAGGTGCGCGGAGAAAATCTCCAAGTCCCCACTCCCCACTGTGGGGGAAACTTCACACACTGTGGGAGGACAAACATTTGGTCCTGTTCAAGACGGAATACACGTTACTAGTCGTTTCAGTTTTGTGGTTGCTGGAGATCGGGATCAATGTGTGGGTCATACAAAAAGTAGCATGTAAGTAGCTGCGCAGCTAGTTAGCAGGCTGTGGTGTTTTGTCATTACTTTGAACGTATCTGAATGCTAAGTAACTAGCGTTAGCAAACCTGCTAAGTTACACTACCACCTGTCAAAGGGAATTTACTGTCCTACCATGACCATTATACAATCGCCTGTTCTGCTCTAGTGTTAAATGACATTCAGAAACTGCTAGCCTCAAACTTTATGCAGTTAAAAACATTATTTTTATTTACAACAATGTAAACTTCGGGAGGCATGATAATAATTGCTCACTGATAACGTTATCCATATATTTTAATCATTAGTGTGACATTGTTTATTTTGACAAGTCTACTTGTCTAATGTAGGGCTGCAATTAATATTTCTATTGTTTTTTGAGTAGTCAAATAATTGTTTATTCTATAAAATGACAGAAAGTAGTGACATTTTCCAAAGCCCAGGTGAAGTCTTCAGGGTTTGTCTTATAACAGTCCAAATCGTAAAGCGATTCAATTTACATTTATGTAACAAAGGAAACCAGCAAATATTCAGTTATGAAGGTGAAGCCAGTCAAGTGTGACTTTTTTTTTGCTTGATTACTGACTAAAATGATTAATCATTTATGAAATGGCTACTTATTTTATTTCTGAAACAGTTAGTGGATGAAAAGTAGATTTACAGACAAAAGCAAATTATTGTTTTAACTATCAATAATTTGCCAGTTACAGATTCACAAATGTAAAGAGTTGTTTTTTTTCCAGGTTTCATATCAAAAGATGAAGTGTTTTTGGGTTTTTGTTTTTTAATTACAGGACACTTTGGTTCCAGAGAAGTTGCGATGGTAATTTGTCATGATTGTAAAATGTACAGGCAGCAGAACAATGGATTATGTTTATAATAGGAATAATTACTGCACCAACAGTGACATGACATGATTACCCATCATTCGTGATCACTGATCTATGTTCTTTATTGCAGACACTGAGATAGACTGGAAAGCCTACATGGATGAAGTAGAGGGAGTCATCAATGGTACCTACGACTATACCCAGCTTAAAGGAGACACCGGCCCCTTGGTGTGAGTTTCAAAGGATTTTAGTGGTCGTAGGTCTCTCCAGCCTATAATTAGAAGTAGTTTTCAGTGCGAGAATGGAGGATAAACTGGGACCGTCTTGTTGCAGGTATCCAGCTGGCTTTGTCTACTTCTTCACAGCTCTCTACTACATCACCAGCCATGGGGTGAATATCCGTCTGGGCCAGTACCTCTTTGCTGTTTTCTACCTTATCACACTGCTGCTAGTCTTCAGGATATACTACCGCACTAAGAAGGTCAGTCTGTGTGACAAAAGCCTTATTTACCAAGTGGCGTTATAAAACTGCAGTGTTCAGTTTCTAATGCTCATAAAGTATGGGATGAAAAAAATCAAAATAGAAGCAACATTTTCAGAGTTTTAAATTTGTCACTGTTCTCCCAGTTTATTAGTTTGTTTTCCAGGTTTAAACCTTGTTAATGGTGATCTGAAAACTGGTTCACATATTTTGGGGGGGAAAGTTTTAAAACGTTGAAACTGGAGTTTCGGAGGGCGGCACGGTGGTCCGGTGGATAGCGATGTGGCTGGGGTTCAAACCCTGGCTGCCCTTTCTGTGTGGAGTTTGAATGTTCTCCCTGTGTCTGCTGGGGTCTCTCCGGGTGCTCCAGCTTCCTCCCACCGTCCAAAGACATGCGGACTAGGTTGATTGTCCTTAGGTGTGAGTGTGACTCGTTGTTTGTCTATGTGTGGCCCTGCGATGGATTGGCAACCTGTCCAGGGTGTGCCCCGCCTTTCGCCCGATGTCAGCTTGGATTGGCTCCATCCCCCCGCGACCCTGTACGCAGGATAAGCAGTTGACGATGGATCGATGGAGTTTCGGAACGGCGTATCTTTATTTGTGACTCTTTTGCAGATGTACATTTGCAAGGCTGTTCTTTCAGAGCTGAGTTTAGGAATACTAAAATACAAAATAATGGTTGCAGAGACTTTTCAGCCAATAGAAATATTATGCAAGCCTTTAAAACTTTTTAAATTATATTTCAATCTTTCAAACACTGAAACACTTTCAACGTTTCTAAGGTTTTTAAATTTTGTTTATTGTGAAGCCATTGAGTTTGTGTGAAACTCTTGCTCTGTAGTTCTTGGGACACGTTTAAACTTGAATGTACTGTACATATGGCTGTGGTGTATGTCATTTCCTAATAGTTATATAGTAAAGTTATGTATAAAGTAAAATATAGTGTAATTTCCCTTGTTGCCATAATTGTATTTGTTTATTTCTTTTACTTTTTCCAGGTTCCTCCCTATGTGTTCTTCTTTGTGTGTTGTGCTTCTTATCGAATTCACTCCATCTTCGTGCTGCGTCTCTTTAATGATCCTGTGGCCATGATGCTGCTGTTTGCAGCTGTCAACCTCTTCATAGATGAATACTGGATCCTGGGCTGCGGCCTTTATAGGCAAGTGTGGACTCCTTAACAGCACACTGCAGCTTTTAATGTAGTGCCTTTCTCTGTTCACAAAGAGGAATATGTATCTACGTTTCTTTGTGAATCTTAGAATTATTTTTTTGCCAAGTGTGGACCATACGTGACAAGATTAAATTACAACTTAATCTTCCTCTCTTTCTGACAGTTTAGCAGTGTCTGTGAAAATGAATGTGCTTCTTTTTGCTCCCGGACTACTTTTCCTCCTCGTGTCTGAGTTTGGTCTAATCAGGACAATCCCCAAACTTTCTTTGTGTGCAGGAATACAGGTAAAATATCCTCAATAACATAAAGACAGGCACAGTTTTGCATTTTGTAATGTTGTTAAGGATTGCCAAGCATCATTTCTAAATTAATCTGTCTTGATGTCGTAGCTTTTGCTGGGTCTGCCTTTCCTCCTGGAGAATCCTGTTGGTTATCTGAGCCGGGCGTTTGATCTTGGCCGTCAGTTTATGTTCAAGTGGACGGTCAACTGGCGCTTCCTGCCAGAATGGCTCTTCTTGAATCGGTACTTCCACTTACTCCTGCTGGCTGCCCACCTGCTCACCCTGCTGGTGTTTGCTCTCCGCCGTTGGAAAAGGTGAGACTGACTTTGACTGTGCCAAGGTTACTGTTGGCATTATAACTGGAGAAGAGCGGGAATAATTCAGGGCTTTAAATCATGCCAGTTTTTATTCGACAACACCACAGGTGTTTGCTTAGTCAGTAGTTGATTTCATGGAGCCTGCCTCTGTATTCTGCTGAAAACCTTAAAGGATAACTTGGAATTTTTCAACCAGGACCCTATTTTCCCATTTTTTTGTGACTACATGACTAATTGGGACAACATTTTTTGAAATTGGTCCAATATGGGGGAGTGTACTGCAGTCAGCAGCAGTGAAAGAGGCCTGCAACGTAACCTAGCAGGCAATTGATACTTCGCTAAGCCACGCCCCCTGTAGTTATTGTGGCTAAGTAGGACAAACTGTCAGACCTGACGGACTTTTGTTTATTACTGCACTCCCCGGAGAAATATTGTCAAATTATTTGGAAAAAACGATCTCAAAAAGAAGCAGACAGTTTGCAGCTGCATTGTGCATTTGAAGGTTGTATTCGGGCTGTCAAACTGACATAAAAGAAAATAATGATAGAAGCTTGAGCCTACTGATCACAGAGTAAAAGTGAACCACCATATCACCTGACTATTGAGAAAGAGGACAACGATATTAAGGATGTTTCTGTACAGCTGTGTAGGTCTCTGTTCACTATTACAATCATTACAAAGCAGAACAGTAGGGCTTTATAACGTTACATTCAGTAGTAAGTTAGCTAGTGTTAGCCAACACTACATTAGGAACAATCCACAGCCCACATTTTTCTGTATTTGTTTTAGGTATTGGAAAGGGAATAAATCGTACTTCTCCTTTCAACCTCTCTGGGTAGCGACTGTAACTATTACAAGTGCCCCAGGAACAGTGTTTGACCATATGTTGGAAAAATATGGCAGAAGAAAGCTAGAAAATGACTCATTTTACATTAGAGTCAGTGGAGCGCAGCCATGAAAGTGTCGGACCTCAGTTGCAGTCCTATACTGCGCTGTGATTGGCCAGCCGCCTGTGGCGTGGCTTAGCGAGGGATCAATTGTGCCCTGTCAAAGTATGTCCACTAAGGTGCTTGTTTTTGCAACTGACGTGCTTAATATTGGTGTCTGACAACATTCTGGAAACGATACCCCCAGAGATGCACCTTTTAAAGAGTAAGATCCTTTTTTGGTTAACCAGTTGCTATATCGCTCTCATCAAAGCTACCAGACTCTCTTCACAAAAATATTAGAGACTCTCTGGTTCATCACTGCCTCGATCGGTTAGTTTGTGTTAGTGTTTTTCACCCTTTAAAACATCAATTCACACAATAACACAAACTAACTGACCAAGGCAGTGGTATACCAGCACCATGATTAAGGGTTAGGTTCTGCGTGTTTTTCAAGGTAAAATTACTGGAGTTTTTTTCAATGGAGTCTGATGGCTTTGGCTTTACTCTTAAAAGGTCTGTCTCTGTAGGGATCTTTTCCAAAATGTTGTCAGACACTTGTAAAAACAGCGTGAGCCTGTCTGTGGCAAAAACAAGCACTTTAGTGGACATACTTTGATGAGCTGCAGATGCCCTCGATGAATACTTCGCAGATCTGTTTCGCTGCTGTTAACTGCAGCACGCTTACACAATACTGGACCAATATCAAAAAATGTTGTCCCAATTAGTCATATAGACACAAAATCACTGGAAAATAAGTTCCAGGTTGAAAAATACAAAAATTACCCTCTAAGGCATATAAAAATGAAGATGCATTTTGGCATCAATCACAGCTTTTCACAAAACTGACTTTTTACAGTTAAGGAAGGTGTTAACATCTGCTATACTGCTTATAGTCAGTCAGAGGTGGAATTATAATTATTTTTGAATAAAAAGTAAATATTTTCTCCTACAGGCCAGGAGAAACTATCTTGGAACTACTCAAGGAGCCAGGCAAAAGGAAGATCCCTGCTCAGAAAAACACTGTTGATCATATCCTTCTGTTCTCTTTGAATCTATTCCTATCTGTAGAATATTGTTCCTTTAAAGGATAAATTAGGATTGTCAGCAACACTATTATTTCTACTGCTATGTGTCAAATATAAATTGGCTAAACATGTCTGAGAGTAAACGAATGACATTCCTAGTATTCACTGGCTTTTGTGTCAAACCTTAACAGATACTCACAGATAGTGCTGATTTTGTTCACCTCTAACTTCATTGGCATGTGCTTTAGCCGTTCGTTGCACTACCAGTTCTACGTCTGGTACTTCCACACGCTGCCTTACCTGCTCTGGAGTGGAGGGGTCAAGAAGCTGGCCCACCTGCTCAGGTAAGACAGAGTTTGATTACTAAACCATAAGTTCCAATTTTGATTAGTTATAAACCTAGAGCAATGTTTTGTCCTTGCATTCAGAGTCCTGATCCTGGGTCTGATCGAGCTTTCATGGAACACCTACCCCTCTACTAACAGCAGCTCAGCCGCACTTCACGTCTGTCATGTCATCATCCTTCTCTGTCTATGGCTGGCTCCGCCCCCACCTTCAGCCCCAGCAGGAGCACAACAAGATACACCTGTTAAGGACAAACGCCAGTGAGCCACAGCCTGATCGGACCGGACGCCATATTTAGACTAATCAGCTGCATAAAGCATCCATCCTCCTCCTCTCTTTGATCCTCACAACACCGGTGCAGAGGGAGGCCACTGGGATGGACTGTTTCTAAGTGAATACAAGGAGCCATTTGTTGCTTCTCATCAGCTCACTGCTAAAAGTGAAGGAAGCTAACATGTGGGTGCAGTCTGCAGACAGATACCTACATGATGAAATGGCATGTAATAGTCCCCTGCAGTTGAAAAGATGAAAAAAGGAAGAAAATATTCTCAGGTTTCATTTTCAGATTCACAATAGGAAGAGTGGAGTAGAGTGCTAGGAGGAAATTGTGAATGTTATGCTATTTTGAAAAAAATATGTTACATAGCCTATGTTTCAACCTAGTATGTTAAAAGCGCACTCTATCCATATTTCAACTGGCCTAATATTATTTTTTGTTTGTTTGGTGATCTGATCTAATCCAAAACCTGGTGCACACATTATCTTGTATGTTGTATTAAGAAGGCAATATATTAAAGAAAGCATTAATATGACGATGTAGAACGTAGCACCCAAAGATTTAAATCAGTTGCATGTCAGGCATTGGTCTGTGGCATTTCCACTTGCCACAGCAGCTGCAGTATTCTCCAATACAAGAAGTTAAAGAAGTTAAAATGTTACACAAATGTGTAAAACTAAGCTGTTGACAATCATGTCTGATTTGTCACTTAATTGATTCATCATCCGTGGTGAGTGGCGCACTATACTCAAAAGCACATAAGTAGAATTAATGTGAAAAATGTGCAGTAGAGTGATGCAGCAGTCATGTGTGACCTTTTATATTAAACAGATGCCACTTAAATTTGATGCTGTTTTTTTCTTCATGTATATTTTTTTGTTACACACTTCAACAAATGGCTTAATTCCACTATGCTTTTATTTTCGCAAAACAATAATTTAATTATTTAAAGCAATATGTCATTAGTTTATCAAATACTCATCCTGTTGATCAAAATCATTGCCATTCAACGCTGACTGACTGGTTATACATTTGGCAAAGTAATACATTATACTGACTACATATAGACTACAATAAGCCCATTCATATGGTCAAGGCATTCTTGTGATTGCATAAAGCATACTTCTAATAAAAGGCCACTTGGTTTATGTCATGTAAAGGGTATTCTTGTTACATAAATATAAAGTCTTACAACAGTAAAATGTTTCATGTGCAACTTAATTCTAGAAACTTGGCACTGGTTACGGGATTAGTCCTGCAGATAAAATACAGGATTTACTTTTCCATGTAAAGGTGTTGCTTCTTAGGAGTCATTATCATTGGTAACAAGTGAGAATGCAAATCAGTGATCACTGTCTCACATATTATTGGGATTATAACATAGCATGTTTAGCTTGATGTTCTCATCCCAGTGGCGTAGCAGCAGGAAGAGCTGTCTGGCGGCTCCCTTCAGCCCCGCCAGGTCCACTCCCTCAGGCAGCTCCTGACAGCGCAGCCAGAAGTCTGCTTTTGCTGCCACCAGCTCCCACTCCATGAAGTAGCCAGCACAGCGGTGCTCAAGCCAGGCTAGGGCCACAGCTGTGGCCCAGCTGGACCCCTCCAGGTCCTCTTGAGCCAACTTGCTGCTACCCTGTAGGTCTGCTGGGTCTACTGAAGAGCTTTCACATACATCTGTCTCTGATCCGCGACCACTATCTGCCTGGCCGTGGCTCTGGCTCTGAGAGGGACCTACAGATAGCTCCAGGGAGCCCTCCTCCGAGCTGGGAAGATCAGGGGGTGAGGTGACAGGGTCTCGGTCAGACAGGTGTCTGCGGCGAACCCTTGGTTCCAGCATCAAGGGAGTGTCATCTGGAGTGTGGTGGAAAGGAGGTGCAGTTGGTTTGGCGAAGGAGCATGAAGAAGGAGAAAAGGTAACGTGGTGACTAGTGGGAACACCGGGAGGCTTGGTGGAGGTGGATAAAGATGGAGCACTGGGAGATGTGCAGCGGAAGGGCGGGCTGAGACTGCGGCGGTGGAGGCTGTAGGGTGATGCCCTCTTCAGGCGGTCCAGGGGGATCTGGACACAGTCCGAGTAGCTTTCTGTCATGAGAAAAGCACCTGATGCCAGCTGCAGCCGCACCTGATTAGACACCATACAGACAAATGAGTAAATGTGTATACACTCTAATAAGTACTTACTTAAGTATATATGTTGTAAGTGTCTGCTCACCAGGGACAGGTAGTCTGGAGCTTCGGTTTCAGGGTGTTTCTCAGTCTCAGCAGACAGACAGTGGGACTTGAGAGGAACCTGCTTTCCTGATGAAACAGAGGACCTGAGTATGCCCAGAGGAAATCTAAAATGCATAAAAAGAGGTGGGTGTTTTGGCATTTGAATATCTATACATTTGGATGTAGACATAATATACACCCCTCTTAGAAAGGGGCTTAATCTCCAAATAAACAATAAGCCAAAGGGAGCAGTCTCAAAAATGCAAACATAGTAAGCCAAACAAACAGAGTGCTTTAGGGAAGACACAGCATCACACATTAAAACTAATCAGCAGGGGTTTGATGGACACATACAAACTCTCCTAAATTGCACTTCATCTAATACAGAATCTCTTTTCCAGAAGGTCTCCCAAGATCATTTAGTTACTTTAATGTTTCAGTCCTTTTCTGCTCGGCATTAACGTTTTTAGTCGATCCCCTTTGCAGTGTAATTCACAAGAACTAAAAACTAATTATAAAAAAAATAATTTAATGTAAAAAGTCTAACCTGGCGCCAAAGAAGCTCTCCATTGACTTGCTCTCGATAGATCGCTGTGAACGAGTGCATGTGGCACCTGTTAGCGCTGGGGCTGTGGCAGAGTAGGCACTGCCCCCTACACCTGAGACAGCAGCATGGAACAAAACATTAAACATTATTGTTTCATCAGCACAGTGATAAAGAGATGTTTCCTTACTGTGTTTAAATGGTCATTTCACCCTGTACGTGACATTAGTAGAATGACTTAATACATTTCTGGAAAGAAATGCTGCTATAGAAGACATTTTAATGTGAGCATCACAAAAAATCCATTGTATTGGGGTTGCTGATGTGTATATTCAAGTCAGGGGAGAGCAGCTGTGCTTCTCTCCGTCCATTCAGACTCACCCTGAGTTTTGAACTGTCTTTCTGGTCGGATGCCTCTAACATTGACACTACACTGACACCTGAATCACTGATCGAGTCAACAGCAATACTTACTAGAGTCCCAGGATGTAAGGCTACAGGGTGAGGCAGGGGTGTCATCTCTGTCTGAGAGATACAAAGATTGTTGATGACCTAAAGTGTTGGCAACAGAAATTGGTGATGGAATCATTCAGTCTGTCTACCTGTAGAGTTCCAGGTGTCCTCAGTCTCTTCACCATCTCTGCTGGCGCGCCGTCTGCCCAAACCGACAGAATAGGCCCTCTGCCTGCGACTACCTGACTGGGAACTCCGCCTGTTACCCAAATGCACCCCTAAACACGCACACACACACACACACACACACACACACAGACTAAAGTGTTAACAGATTGTACGCAGGAGCATTGCAAACTATTAAAGTTATAGTGTATGTGGTGCTGGTTGAAACTATGTACTTATCCCCATAGAAATAAATATTAAAGTCATTTAGCATTGCACTTTCATTAATTTGGGAGAATCATAGGAAACAGATTTAAAATTGATCAATGGTCAAAAATGAAACAGCAGTGGCTGAGATATGCTGACACTTAATTCAAACTGTGGGTCACATACAAAAAACCACTAAATCCTACAATTATCATAATTCAACACAACTCAATTGTATCTTTCACTCGACCCTCCCTGCCCGAGTGGATGCAACATCTTTCAAACGCAAGTTCCCAACCTAAAATTTTGTCAGACATTATTTTCACTGGCTGGATACAGTAGGCTACCCCTCATGACAACTAAACTAAACTTAATTAAATAAAATTTGTGAGTATGAGTTGGTAGTAAGCCAAACCTGCAGTTTCTGTGTGGAGCTCCATGCTGTCTGCCAAGCCTTTATTAGAGTTGTTATCAGTGGTAGTGAAGGCTGTGTACATGCAGATGATATTACAGTGCTTACTGGTCTGGATAGCCTTCATACGATATCGCTTAGCTGAACCTAAGAAACAGTGAGGGGTAGACAGTACGTGTACCGTATTACTTAAGATAACTGTCAATCAATTAGTGAGATAAGCAGTTAAGCCTCACCATGTCCAAAATCGCTCTCCTTCTCTGCCATTTTCTCAAAGTCCCTTATGACTGAGCGAGCAGTGAGTTGGTGAATGATCTCCTCCCACGGCTCCCGTCCTCTTCCTTCTCGCCCCCCTTTTCCTCCTCCACATCCATCAACTCCAGGTGTGTATCCTGGCCCTCAGGGGTCCAGAGGTGCGCCAGGTCCACCGTGACCTCCCAGGAGACAGGTCTGCCTCTCAGCAGACCGTGAATGAGTGAGCGACACTGACCTGGCGGGGGATCCTCCGGTGGAATAGCGGTAAAGAGGTACTCCGGGTCTGTGAAGCTGTCCCAGTCCAGAGGAGAGGCAGGGAATAGGAGTCCGTCTAAGGGGTCAGAGTGAGAAAGAGAGAGATAAAAATTTCTTGGAGGCAAAATAGGAAGGGCAATCCTGCTTTTCTTAGTACTATAGCTTTACTGGAGTCAGTGAGGCTTCTGCGGGATAGTGTCCCTCTTGATGGGGGGCTTCATCTCTCCATCGCTTTCATCCAGCCTCCCTCCCAGTGTTTGGTCGAAAGAGACCCTCTCCAGAGCTCTCCTCAGGCGATGCATCTCCAGCTCACCCTGGGGGGACGAGAAACTCCGTGCTGCCATGGTTGAACGGGCCAGTGCTTTATGTCTCCTACGAGACTCCTCACCTCCATCCACACACCCATTCTGGATGTAAAGAGGGAAAATCAAACAGGTTCAAAAAGTAGGTTAGACTGCTAGTTTTATTTTTTTCTGTAACAACATGTCTAAAATTAAAAGAGCTTAGGGTTATCTATTTGTACTTTTTCAGGAGTAATGAACTCCTGTAATGTACTTCTGTGGTGTGCCTACTTAAGCTCACCTTTTCTGCCCTGTTATCAGGAGTTTCCACTGAGAGGTTTTGCTGCCACACAGGGTCTGCCCAGCGAGACAGGGATGATCTCTGTTCTGGAGGGGGCATCTTTTCAAGACCTTGGGGTAGCGACCCCGTGTCCAGCACTGAACCACAGGAGTGAGGGTCTGGCAGAAAGACCCCACCCGCAGAGTCAGAGTTGGACGAGGCGTGGATGTGTGAGTGGGACTGTGTTTGTAGACTCCGCTCACTACTGAGGGAGCAGCGAGTAAGGACATACTGCTCCTGGATATAAGAGCTCTCCTGGATCCTCCTCCTCACGTCACTGGACCAGTCTAACTCCACTCCTACAGCGGATAAAAGCTATATGTTAGATTTACCATTCATATCTACCAGGAGTTCACTATGAGATACACTGACAAGTGACCGACCTGGGCTGGTGCCAGGGTCTGTGTTTTTGGCACAGGAGAACTCAGAGGAGATTTCTCTGGAAATCTCCCTCAGTGCCTCATCCAAGTCGGTGCCATCTGCACTTGTCACCACAGGCATTAACTCGGAGGCAGGAGGAGGTGAAAGCTCGTCATTTGATTGGCCAAAAACTGAACCAGTGGAACCAAGATGCACACCTTTATCGCCCCGTCCTTGAGACTATAAAATAAGACAGTGATATTAGATACATTTTCCTTTGCAGACACACACAAATGAACTTGATAAAAGAATGTAGAGATGTGTACCTCTGTCTTTTTTGCTTTGAAATTCTTCATATCGTATAGAGTGCAATATCCAATTAGACGATTCCCAGGGTAGAGAGGAGGGATTTCACTGGGTGAAAGAAAGGCCTCCATGTTTTCTGGCAGGTACCAATCAATCCGCACGTCAGTCAGCACAGGTTCAAAGGCCTTTTTCAGAGACTTGATTAACTGAGGAGATAGAGTGGTAACAATATTTCTAAATCAAGCCTTTACAACTTATTTGACTGATTAGAGGCCAGTTTTGGAAGAAGTAATCAGATTCTTTACTAAGTTAAAAGTACCAACACATTAATGTAAAAACCCTCCATTACAAATAGAAGTCTTGCATTAAGTACAGAAGTATTAACATCAAAATGTAGTTAAAGTATCAAAAGTGCTTCTGAAGTTCTGAAGAAATGGCCCCTGTGACTCATATTATTCTGTTAATTCTGTTATTACTGGTAGTTAATACTGATTCATCAGTGTGTACTACAAATATATAGTTGGTAGAAGTAGAGCTAGTTTTAATTACTTTTTATAAAGTTAGGTAGTTTAGTCCTTTAGTTCAGCACTTCTCAACCTTGTGAGTCGGACTCGGCCCCTCCAAAGGGTCACAAGATAATTCTGGGAGTTATATTTGATTTATTATTTTTTATTGGATCATTTCATCTCACATTTATTTAAATGAAACCATCTGAACCACTGGTATGTATTGTATTGTATAAACTATGTTTTTTAATGTAACATCTTGATTTGTAAAGTAACTAGTAAGCATAGCTGTCAGATAGATGTAGAGGAGTAAAAAGTACAATTTTATTATAATATTAAGTACTGTGAAGTACTGACACTGTATGTACTGTATTTGTCTCTCAAAGTAAAATTGTGCTTCTAATTGTTCTGCAATTCATATTTTCTCAAATAGGTGGCAGTGCTGCAGTGGTTCCGACCTTGGGCTGGAGTCGCTCATCATCATCCAAGAGCTCTGTAGTCCCTCCTGTCAGTTTGGCAACGCCCTGCAGGAGTCTCCTGCAAGCTCTGGGACCAAGGCCCAGGCCAAAGCATCTGCAGAGGTGAAATAATATATACATAAAAATGTTATCACGCCCCAAGAGAAATTGAAATTATGACACCACAATTATCATGTGAGAATTATCTTCACTGTCTACTATTGTGTGGGGTCTTTTCATGCATCGCCTGCACTATACATACAATGTGTTCAGTCATATGGGTTCACCGTCTGAACAAATCAAGTATCAGTCTCTTGCAACAACTCTGACTTATGTAACTATCTATTTGTGAAACCCTAAATACAGACAGAGGCTTGTCTCGGAAAAGAGAACATCTGGACTTATCTATCACACAGAACTGTTATTTGGGCTAATTGAGAGTTTTAAAGGATCCGGAGACAAAATAATTGAAAGGCGGAAAACTTGGGTGTTGTCTCTAAAAACAGCTGTCTGTCTGAGTGGCTGTGACAGTGGAGAAAGTCACTCCAATAGGAGAATACTAATGAGAGATAAATGGAGTTATTGTGCATTGCTGAAGGGCCTGGATAACCAGAGGGGCGTGACTCTTACTGCAGAGGAGAGCACTTAACAGGATTACTGGGCGGGGCTGAAAAATACCTCAGCCCTGTCTTTTCTTTCTTTCACGGTGCTTTGGTCTCAGTTCTTCAAGATTGCCGTTTGCCTGTGTCCCCTCCCTTTCTCTCTGTGTCTCTCTTCCTCTCTTTCCTCCCCCACATGGTGTCTCTTTCATATTTATTGTCTGCACTCCCTTGTCACCCACAGTGATTAAATGTTTAATGTCCCATCACAGCCTTAGAATAAATCATTGTGAATTAAACTACATAGAAAAGTAAGGAAATTTGTGTTTGGTAGAGTATTTCTATATTGTAACAATGCTTCTTGGCAATAAATCCTATACCATTGGAAAGCCTGATTATTTCCCTTTTAAACTGTGCCACATTTGTAAGGAACATGCATTTGTGGGATGAGCAGCAGAGCTGCCCATGAAAAATTTGCCAAATCTTCTCTGAAAATGCCAAGAAGCTTTTCTTTGCTGTTGACGTTTGTTTGGTGTGGATTGGATGACAGGACACACTGGCAATTTAACAATTTGTTAATTTAAGAAACAGGAGCGTGTGGAAGAACCATACACAGCCACAGCAGCCTGACACCTCCTCTTCATGCTGGTCACCAGCCTGGTCACACACTGTTGTGGGATGGCATGCCATTCTTCAACCAGCATTTGTCGCAAGTCAGCAAACATGGTTGTGTTGGTCACTCTGGCATGAACAGCACCCACAAGTGTTCAGTGTGGTTGAGGTTAAGACTGCTGGCAGGCCATCCCATCCTCTCCACTCCCAAATTCTGAAGGTAGTCTCTGATGAACCATGCTCTGTGGGGGCGAGCGTTGTCATCTTGGGGATAGAGTTTGGTCCCAGATTGTGGAGATATGGGATTGCCACTAGTTGCAGAATTTAATCTTGATATCTCTTTGCATTGAGATTGCCTCCAACGATGACAAGCCTCGTTTTTGAGTGAGGGAGATACGGCCCCACACCATCACACTGCCTCCACCAAAAGACGTTACTCTGTCGGTGCAGCAATCAGCAAAGTGTTCTCCACACTTTGACCCAAAGATCCAAGTTCTGTAGGCAAAATCCAGACTCATCGCTGAACATGGTCATCCACATGTTCAGTCAGATTCCTGATTGTCAGCACCTGGGGGTACCAGAAGCTCAAAACAAGAGTCAGTAGCAACAGCAAAGGAAAGCTGTTAGGCATTGTCAGAGAAGATATGGCAAATTTCCCACATACTCAGCTGCTGCTCATACCACAAATGCATGTTCCTTACAAATGTTGCACTGTTTAAAAGGGAAATAATCAGGCTTTACAATGGTATAAGATTTATTGCCAAGAAGCATTGTTACAACAAAGACATAATCTACCAAACACAAATTTCCTTACTTTTTGTGCGTAGTTTAGTTGTTTGTCCATTGTCCATGTGCATTTATATGTGTTTTTGTCCCATTCTGGATATCCACTTGATACCTCTTTGTACCATTCTTCACACATGATTTTTATGTTTCAGCTAAATACCTGCCAGCGCATGTATTTCTGCGGACCAGTTCCAGCACCTTAGCCACATTACTGATGCATCCATCTGTGATGATAAAGACCTGGCGAGGATATGAGCGCTGCATGGGCTGTTGGTACACCCAGGACAGCGCTCCCAGAAGGTTGGTGCCTCGCATGTCGGCTCTCATCCGCTGGACATATTCATATGCCTGCATTAGAGTGACCTGTGCGCATACGAAGAGAGAAAGAACAGGAAAGATGCTATCAGATCTACAGTAAAGGTGGGAGAGGCAAGCACCCAACAACAACACCTGTCCAACTGCATGACGCTGCCTGTGCAAACATCACCTATGTTGTCAGGATAAATTCACTGTTTGATATCAGATGCCCCAATTGCCCTGTGAGGGTAGCAAAGAATTGAATTGCTACACCTCTAATAAAGAGAGAGCAAACATACACACATTAGCACCTGCTTTAAAACTACCTCAAATCACGCTGGGCACAAACATGCCTGACAGGTGAGGAGATGGAAGGACTTCTCCTGCCTTAGTGAAAATGCATGAAAGGTCACCATATGGTCGGGAGTATGTGCAAAGACTGTTTGTCCTTGCAGCCCCTGGTCTGGATAAAACCTGATACTCTGCTACTAAGGCAACCCAAGGAACTGACCTGTTGCCTGATTAGTTTAGACAAAAGAGAACAGACAGTCCTATGTGGTTGAAAAACATCTGCTTTCAGGAAACATGATGCTCCATGTATTTTTTTTCACTGAACTCATGTTCATAATTAATTAAAAATAACATTTGATTTTTTTAATGACAATCCTATTAACAAGGTCACTGGTAAAGCTAACATCAGCGCAGAGCTTGCTTGAGGGGAACAGAGGCTTGATGGTGGTGCCGAAGCCCACAATGTTGAGCATAGTGCCAGAAGGGAGGCTCTTCAGTGCCACCACCATGGCGTCCTGTGGAAACAAGGAGGGATGGACAGGATGGAATTAGGGCAATATACATGCCTAAATCTAAAAACTACATTGGTATGTTTTTGTCCTGCTCGCAGCTCACCTTTACGCGATGGATGTTGGTGCCACTCATGCTGCCACTGCGATCGACAAGGAACAGCAGTTCTCTGGTGGCTCTGTGCAGCTCCAGCGGTTCACACACCAAGTCGGGGCAGAAGTTGAGCATCAAGACGGGGCTGCTCAGAATGTCCTTGTGGTATCGCTTCCTCACAAACTCCAGCTGTGGGCCAAGTGGAACATCAACATATCAGCTTGGGACACATGTGAGATATCAAAGGTTAATATGGTAGTAAATGCACTGCAAGTGACTACTAACCCTCCTCTCAGGTTCTGAATCTTTGCGGGTGCAGCGAATGAAATCACGGCGGGAACAGATCTGCTGTTCATACTGGCTGAACGAGAGCCTGCCTCTCTCTAATATGACCACGGGCTGTGAGGTTCTGTGAAAGAGGTTTATTAATTAATGACACATTCAAATATCAGGGGAAAACTGACACAAGGAACAAAAATAAAAAATAAGGATCTGTTTTCAATTGCTTACCACTGAGGTGCAGAATGATCTCTATGTGTCTGTCATATGGATGCTCCTGGGCCAAGGTGATGTAGGTAGCAGAGGCACTTTGGGCACTGGGGTCTGCATCTGCCCTCAGAGCGTGAGTGGGGCTCTCCAGTCCTACAAATGAGTTTATGAAGAAATAACGAGAAGCAAATAATAGTTTTCATAACACCATTCATGCATATTACATAGTAATTTGAGTTAGCTTTTTCCAGCACACAGTAGTGGAGGAGATTCTTCTGTCTATCCTCTCTGGATTGTGTTTTCTGGCTCTGTTTGGCTTCAGGCCCTCTCTGTAAACCCATTAACTTCACGTTGTAACGAGATTGACCACTGTTAAAATATTTGCCAATGGCTGAGTCAAGAACCACTGAATCAAAAATTTTGAGGAGAAAGACAGTACCAGCCAGTAGGCAGGCCCCTCGGACCAGCAGCTGGAAGTTGAGTTCGTAAGGCGCCAGGTTGGCAGCTGGACTGGTGAAGATGGCATGGGCACACTGCTGCACAGAGCCTAGGGTCCGGCCTTGTTTTCCTGAGGTGGCCCCGAAACAGCTGGTTGGTCTGAGAGCAATGGAGAGTATTTAGAAAAGCATTGCTAGGTAAAATAGTATTACCACAGTTAGTTAAGACATAAATACCCAGTTTCTTCAGATTTCCCCCCGTTTTCACTCTTGCTTGGAGTCATCTGGCCAGTGACGATCGGGGTAAGCAATGTGGGGTAGACAATGCGGATTGCTCCATTTTCTAATGTGGGGAGTTCTAGTGTGGTGCTTATGACAACTGATACTATATCCATGGGACCAATGACACCTGTGCCCACAATGAAGGTCGTTCTTTCAAGGTCTTCGTCCAGGATGAGATGTCCTAAAGCAGAAATACATCAGTTACTCACATCATAAAACAATTCAGACATTTGCGACTGTGGTAGGGTGGGGGACTGAATCTCATCTTTGAATTTATAAAAAATTAGATCAGATGCCTGATTGTACGTCATTATCAAACCTATATATGATGCTGAGTCTGTTGGACACCTTTTCTACTGGCAGCTCTTTCAAAGAGCGCACAGTTAAATACCTAAACACACATTAATTACCATTAATTATTTGTAAATTAAATTCCTGTACTCACTGACGTGTAGAATAGATGAGATATTATCTTAACTTAATCCCACAAAAACAATTAATGAAATAAAATTTAAATTTGGGATTAGAAAAGTTTATGGAAGCCCTAAGAGGCCAAACATTCATTCATTTTATTTACTCCGTTTTCCTGTGATAACAAGTTAAATGAATTTCTTGAATTATTTCTGTCATTTTTTTGAAATAACAAATGTTGTTTTCCCGAGATATTGGGATAATTTTCTCAAGATCTCGTGATAATGAAACTTTGTTTTCCCGAGACAATTGGCACCAGGCCACTTTTGCCCAATCCCAAACTTACTTGCCAACCCCTGTACTAGAGTTTCTCTTTGTTTTCTCGAGATCTTTAATTAATTATGTCATTATCTAGGGAAAACAAAGTTTCATTATCTTGAGAAAATTATCCCTAAAATTACCACGGGAAACTGAGTAAATAAAATGTATGAATGTATGGCCTCTTAGGACTTCCAAAAGAATCTCCCCTCCTCTTTTTTGACCACCTAATCATTTTTGTACAGTCCCAAATATAAAATAATTTGGGCCTTGAAATTAAAATAACCTACAGGTGCAAAAGGGTTACTTGAATACTCTATGTACGTGATGCGACCCTTTCCAATAAAATACCATGCACTTCAAGTTGATATATGTTTGTCCTAAGTTAGTGCCATTTCACCATTAGGCAGGCAGCCAATTCTATTTGCCTCCCCCATCTGTCCTTTCTATCCTCAGTGAGGCTAAAACAGAGAGAGAAGCTGTGACTATATTTGTATTCATGCAGAGACCAAATCATTGCAGCAGTAGACAACAGTCAGCAACAGTTCAGCCAGTGGTTGAAATGATTTGCAGTTCTACTACATTATAGTAAAAATGCCACGCTAGCAAATTGCAAAAGCAAAGTACGGGTTTTGTAAAGCTAGAGTATCCATAGGACAGAGATCTAATGACTAATGTTCTCCGGATCTATAAATGAATTAGGTTGATTTCTGTTTAATAACTTAATTATTAGTAGGCTAGGTGAGGGACATTGGTAGCCCTGAAAAGGTAATGGGTAATGTGATGCTCAACATGAATGAATATCTAGTTTCTTACTTGTTGAAGCTTATGAAATCAAATCAGATAATTATACACTGCAGGCACCTCATCACAAGCATTCCTCCCTCCTCACCGTTAGTGCATTGCACGTCAAGGCTGGAGCTCCCACAGCAGCCCCACTCCCGGCCATCCCCACAGTGGCCTTCAAGACAAGATCCAGGACAGCAATCCAAACAGCACTCTTTAATCTTCCCTCTGCTCTGGATCTGGACCCCCACCAACCGGCCCGCAATCACAGCCTCAAAGCCCACCACAACTTCCTTTTCCCCGAGAGGGTACACAAACACACCTAGATGACCGAAAATGTTTGACACACAAAACAATGACTTCAGACTTTTGCTTCAATTGAGAAAGCAAGCCAGCTACAAATCATGTAGCATATTTTCAAGTACAATAGATATTTTGTATGAGCATGATAAAGGTCTGCTTTGTCACCATCTCCAAAATTTCTGACTTAGTCAAATGTCTTTGTTGTAGCTGCTTTGGACACAAGTGTCTGCAGAATGAATTTATTGATGGCGAAGACGCTGGCAAAGCAGTTTGGAAAGAATTTTTAAAGTGCTGTTTTATTACTTTCAGTAGATTTTCATCTTTTCAGTCATTCTTTTTCAAATCCCTGACGAGTTTTCCTTGCTATTTGTCCATGAGCTTTTTTCCAACTCCCTCATCATCTTTTTAATTTCTTCTTGGTGAAAGCAAAAACGCCAAATGTCATCCAAGTTGTCCTCAACATACTTTTAGTTCAAATTCAGGGTAACTGTTTCAGCTGGCAGCTGTCCAAACTCTCCAAATTTTGCACTCTGAATCTTACCCAAATTTCACCTAAACCACATAATCTCTACATCGGCCCTATCAACCCTCCTATAGTAACTAACTTTCAACCAATTACCAATTATCAGTTTTAAATAAAACTTTATCCCAAATGAATCTGCAATGGGACTGTTACAAATGTACCGTTGTATCATAGTTCTGACTGTACTGAAAAAAAGTATGATAGATGTCAGTTGCTAGGATTATTACTTGTTCTAAGAGTGTATCATCCCACTACTCACCTTCTACAGACTCTATGTCAGCATTCGCATAGGTAAGGTGTGCGGTGATTCCCAGGGAGCAGCCGTTGGCACAGGACTTGATGCAGGAAGCCTTGAGTAGCAGTGGCTCCCATGTAGAGCAGTTTCTCAGTCCCACCATCTTTTCGTGGCAGCAGCAAGCCTCTACTCTGCTAGTAGGAACACAGGTACACAATGTGAAATGGTCTGAGCAGACAGGAAGAGGAATTTGTGAGTGTGCATTTAAATTCTCTCATTTTCCATTTACAGAGCAATCACTGTAATCTTTGTCAATCAGACCTGATTTTTGCTGCATTGATTAAAAGCCTCTAAAATTCCATTGGTTTCACATTTTTTGTGTATAATATATGCCTGCCAGATATCTAGTTATATTGTACGTATGTACACATCAACTCTCGCACATGTAACCAAGGTATCTCCTCTCCTCGGGCTCTTAGCAACACACTGTGATAGTTTAAGTGTAAGAGGCTTGGTCAATCATTAACGCTGCAGGTCAGCACTTACTACACTATGCATCATGCTATAATGTAATCAGTGGACAGCCTGTATGCAAATCTACATGGACTTACGAGTACTCTCACATAACTGTGCTCTTAGCTAACTGCAAGGAGCTGGATGGCAAGAAATGGTAGACTATAATCATCTGCTTTTCAACAGAAACTTGGTAACAAACCACCAACTGATCACAATTTTCATCAGAGTTTCCATTCATCTAACTCAAGCAATACACAATACTTCTTAATGAATGACTACTTAATAACTTTAAGTGCAGCAGGTGGAAAGATCAGTGTGCAGATCACAGCTTAGTGAATGGTAGACTACACCAAACTGTGTGTGTATATATGCAAGTGTGTTTGTGTACGCACACATGCTGCAGTTGTGTGTGTGTTTGCTGTGGACCAGGTAATGGTCTTCTCACATCTACCTTTCTAACAAGATCAACAGCCTCCATCTGGCTACTGTGCTCTCAGCTCATAACAGGCAAATAAATGCCTGGTTTGTTAAAGTAGGGCACACTGATGCTGTCAGAATACAAACAAAAGGAAAATTACAACATAGCACGCATCTGTAGACTGCTGAGACTCAGAGCTGTGGCGAAGCTGAGGAATAAGCCTGACAGACTGTTGGTCCAGCTTTATTAGTGAGAAAAAATATGACTTCTTTACACATTATGACTTGGTTATGTGTGTTTGCATGTATGGTTTTAATTTCAGTATACCAACACATGGTACACAGAATGAATGTTGTAAACAGCAAACATGCACATACTAACCAAAGTCCTGTCTGAAACTCAAATGCAGATATTTGTAAAAAAAAAAAAAAAAAAAGACAAATTACAACATTCACTAACACTAATGGCAAAGTTGCTGAAATAACTGTTATCTAAAAAAATAACACATTAAAAGTGCATCCAAATTAAATTAAAATGCATTGCCTCTGTGAGGTTTCATTAATCTGCCTGGGTGTTTGCAGTAGCATAGCTGGCCAAGAGTTAGCTCTGGGCAACACTGCAGTCCTCTTATGTCAGTTACAAGCTCCAGATAACAAGCAAAATAATCATCCAGGAACACTTACTGTACTGTTCAGTGCTGTGTCTGATAATTTGCCTCTGTATCCAGTCTCTGCATCACTCTACCATCACATCTGCTCGTGGGTTTCCCAGTGATACAGTAGGCATGAGTTTTCCTGGTATCAGAGACTGCTCTCTCTCTCTCTCTCTCTCTCTCTCTCTCTCTCTCTCTCTCTCTCTGTCTGTCTGTCTCTCCCCAAATCCAGCAGTTGCCCTATACAGAAAACTATGATTTCACAAAGTCATATATTAAGAGACATTGCACATATAGCTCAAAACAGTATCTGTGAATTAATATAATCTATATACATTAATAGATTGATGCTTGTATAACCTACTATGAGACACCCAACCAAAATCTGGAGTAACTACACAAAATGTATTTTCAATATCAGGCAACCAGTAGCCTATATATAAATTAAAATGTCCCTTTCAGAAGAACTGGAAATGTAACTGCTCTGATCAGCCACCAGCTCTGCACCAACCTGCATTTCCTGTTAAGTGAAATGTCATCTGCTTACCTGCTCTGATCTGAATCACAGTACTGATCAGAAACTATGATCCTGAACCTGCTGTTCGGGCACAAGCTAACACCCAGTGGTTCGTGAGGCAGTGCCTGCTTTTCATCCAGACAATTGGCTGTGATGGTAGTAGCACCATAATTCATGGCTAATGGCTTGGCCAGAGAGAGAGGGGGCTGAAGGGGGTTCTGCCTCTCTCAACAGGTCAGTCAGACAGCCACTGGCGTGGGGAGGTGAGACCAAAGACGTTTACCATTTTAATGGGTCCATTGCTACAAACTTGGTTGCGAAAAAACAGTACCACATTTTAAAAAAGATGATAATTACAACACATGGAGTGGCAAGCAAGTAATAAAGACATGGCCATAACTGACTATTTTTCTGTGTGTTAATTTTATCTATTCATTCATATCTTAAAATGTTTATGAATTAGAAAATACTTTTCTCATGTTATTGTTTGATACTTACATTATTGTTATATTCCATTTAATCTATAGTCTGAACATGACAGAGAGAGAGAAAGAGGATGTGGCAGCATAGGTTAGAATAGTGGAATACCCCGTTTTGATATTTCAGCTGGGAAGCACTCTTCTGTTTGTTTTGATGATCATGTCTGGCTTAAGCTTTTAGTCATATATTGAACCATATTCTTCCTATAACACATCTTATGTATTTTGTGCACTTTGAATTGATAAAGGAAGTGGTGCAAATCAAACACATAGCCTACATGAAAGTACATATTTGGATTTGGATATTGTGATGGTGATTGTGATAACTAAAATCCTCACTCTTTTTCTGGTAGTATGTATGTGTGTGTGCCTGTGTTTGAGAGAGAAGTTAGGCAGTAGCCTATTACAATCTGGGTCCCACACTGCCTCCATGTGGCCTTTTTCCATTTTCTTTTACCTATTTATGTCATCATAAATTATGATCTTTAATAAATGGCACAGCCTTTATACTATCATCTTTTCCTGTTAACCTGCCCGACATTTTCATCAATCACATTCTTCACCATTTTAATAATGTCTCTGATGAAATGTTAATTCTCACAAATATGCTCTAGTGACTATGAATAGTTACAGTTACAAGGGCACCTGACAAGCTGTCATCAGACCAGGTTGCACATTTTGACAGTTTAATATTGTTTATGGTCTTGCCCACTGAAAAGTCACAACCTGTATTGAAAAGGTTGGTGAGTAATATCGAGTATAATTATAAAGTGCATAAATTAGTTACATTGTTTGACGATGCTGCAGTTTTTTTGAAACAATGTGTATTCAGCTAATACAGTAGACAAATAGTGAATTGCAAATTAGCTAATGTTAGCTAACTAGCTAGCTACCACAGGAGTTCATTATATATAATGCTAACATTACAGTCTGGTTAAGTTAGTTAGTTTTTTAAGATAGTTAACCAATGCTAGCTACCTAGCCCAACCAACAGTTATAGTTAATTTAACATAACTACAGTTTAAAGCTAATGAAGGCAAAAGCAAAGCAGCAACAGCTTGAACATGTTGCTTGCCAAAGTATAGCTGGACTGATGAAGATAGGCTGATGAAGACTCTGGAACAGACAACAGACCTCTGCCCGAGGATCTCAAGGTACGTGCTGGTGTGTATGGGACTAAAAGTCAGAAATATAACAAGGCGAGAGGCCATGAAGAGCTTTAAAAGTGATCAATAGAATTTTAAAGTCAATTCTAAAACATACTGGGAGCCAGTGTAATGAAGCTAAAATAGGAGTAATGTGGTCATATTTCTTTGTTCTGGTTAAAAGCCTGGCAGCTGAGTTCTGGACAGTCTGGAGTCGATCAATAGATTTTTGGGTTTAATCAGGAAAAGGCTGTTTCAAAAGGCTGTTTCAGTAATCCAGGCGTGATGAGATGAAGGCATGTATGACGTTGGAAAAAATATTTTTTGCTGCTATGAATTTTGTGTAACTTTACCTCATTATACAGTAAATATTTTTATACAATCAAGGAATATTAAAGTTATAACAAACATGGTTGTGCTTTGTTCTACCTCGGGTAGGTGTATCTGGAAAATTAAAGCTTTTTTGCTGGATTTGTTCCTCTAATAGAGGTGTGACCACATCAAACCCCATCCCTGTTTTTACTGTTAAACATTCATGCATACAAGAGCTAGCCAAATAAGCTCAGATCATGCTAAACATTGCAGTTCCAGCTGTGGAGGACATGGCTCTAGTGTCACTATGGACGTCATATCCATTAAAAGAAGTTTCACTATAGTGACACTAGATGTCAGCCTTTTCAAGTTAGCTGTAGCGTATTAGCAGTAGACTGGAATTACTTAGGCTAGTAAAGTTTCTTCTTTTTAGCTTCCTGGTGGTCCAAACAGGGATATATATATATAGTTTTACCTATATCCTATAGGTACAATAGAGTGATTTTAATCTGATTTTTGCTTCTGCAGTTACGTGTGTTGGACCTTTTTCCTGTTATTAGCAGCTTTCAAAGACATTTCATTGTCAACATGGCAGTAAGGGTAGAACTACAAATAGTTTCATCAGGTAAGGTATTTCTCAGTTTCTCATTAACTAATGAACATACAAATAATATGTTTTGCACACAATTTATGTTCACACTTAAAATTCTGAATACTACCTGACAAATTCTCTATTCACAGGTTGTTCCATACTCAGTACATCTGGACGACATGGTGCTGGTCAGTGTTAGGAAGCTGAGGGACTTGTTGAGAGGGTTGTTGTAACAACACATGAAGCTGGACAAGTGAAAACAACTCCTGGACATCCTGTTGTAGCAGGGACAGTGCGTCAGAGAGAACCCACAGGATGACCCAATGGTGAGCACCTTTTAGTGTGACTGACAGAAATTTGTATATAACACATGCATTCTGTTTCTGCTCATTGTAGCTTTAGGTGTAAAGAGTGAGGCTGTGTCTTACCAACTGTGTTGAGGAATACGCACACTTGTATGATGCAAAAAAACTTGTATGATGCTTTAATAATGATTCAACATAACAGTCTTCTTCAAGGTATTGAAGGACAAAAAAGCTCAATAGCTACCTGGTCCAATATCACATATTTGGGAAGCAGTTTGAACAAAAGGTTAAATTATACAAATCTTTCAAAAGAACATCTCCATATAAATATAAAAAAGGACAGTGTCTAGAATACACTAAAGAAACATAATGTTAGGAGAGACCATGCAGTTACTATGTTAAAGGAAAAAACAAAACAACCCTGGCTCAGACTAGGTTCCCTAAGAAGAGACCTTGAGAAGTAGATATATATACAACAAGTAATTTAGACCTCCCTCCCTGCAAGTAAGGAACATCCACTTGCAGCTGCACCTGCAAGCAATGCCTGAAAGAGCAAAAGGACAGATGGGCATGTGACTAATCAGGGGATGAAGTGCAGGATTTCACATTTCAAACATAGGTCAAGGGTCAAAGATACAGCCTTGCAGTATCATTGACCATCAAAGCAAAATTCTGTTTTGTTCATTCACAACCTCATCGGTGTTGCAAATTTGAGTTATTCAATAAAAATACAACATGGTATGACAAGACAAAGGGCCTAGAGAGATGAAATATTATGAGGAAAAACAAATCCACAGAAACGTTATCAACCACATCATCATTATTACTCCATTTAGGTAAAGTTGTTATTTTATAATTGAACCGTTGGTGTTTAATGTGCATTTAATGGCAGTTAATGTGATTGTTGAGGTCATAATAGATCTAAGTAACAACATGTCTAACAATGACCCAATACAGGCCTGTGCAGACGAGCTGCTTCTGCTTGACTATTGTCGGGGGGTTCAAGTGTCTGTCTGTGCTGAACCTCTTCTCTCTTGCGTACCCCACTGACCTAGATTTCAATTGTTTTCTGCCTGAGACAATGGGAGAAATGGTTTCATAACTGAACACAATACCTGGGTGTTATTCAACACGATTGTTGTTAAGGTTCTCATTGTGGTGCGATTTTGCGCTGAGCATTGTGTTTTTTCTTTATGTAACCTGCTCAAGCAGCCAGCCAGTGACGAGCCTGTGCACCCGACAATAAGTCTTTTCTCGACAGTTCATCAGATGATTGTGCATTCACATGAATTTCAGCAGCCCAGACTGCTTTTTCAAACACATGTGCACTTCTCACTTGATTTTACCAATCCCTCTTGCAGAAATCTTATTCTTATTCTCAAATATGTATTTTATTGGCTAACAAAAAACTGAGGACAGCTGTCACCTGGACAAAAAAAAGAAAATCACTTTGGATATGAGCTACTTGTTTGTCGACTGTTTAAAGTCCCCCCAAATACTGGGAAGGTTGCCAACTTAACCTGGAATTTCATATGCTTGGACACGACCATTTTTTTCTGTCTTTGTCTCAGTTACCCTTGTGTGTGCTACAGGTGGAATTTCAATGAGAGAAAAAACTCTCACATACTGTCATGCTTACTACTGGGTCATGTGACTTTTCTGTTTAGGCAATGCAACTTTATATGTACAGTACCATTCAAACAAGCAGCAATGTAAAGTGATTTACACGACACAAAGAAATGCATTAGGAAAATGATTAAGTGATATACAAGAAACCAGAACCAGAAATATTGTTATATTGCAGTAATAAGATGCCCCAGATTCTTTAAAGGAAATTAAAGCACAGTAGAGGAATTCATCAATCAAAGGCACAGAAGAAGGTGTGCACAGTCTTTTGACTAGCAGTGTAATTGAATTATAAAATAGTAAACAACTTAGAAAACCACTGTTTGTAGAGATAGAAATAGGCAGGCGGTTGAGAAGAGAGTGGCAAAGTGTGTGGTGGATAGATAGTAAGTAAATAAGTAAGTAAGTAAAGTAAAGTTTATTTAATATAGCCCCTTTCACAGATCATGATCACAAAGTGCTTTACAAGAGTAAAATATTAGAAAAAGTAAAGAAACAACAATTTCAACATAAGTCGCCTGACAACTTCATAAAAACAGTAAAATAATCAAACAGTAAAAGTGAAAGAAGATGAAGGAAGATGAAGAGAAGAGTACACAGAAGACAAATTAGTCAAAGGACATCAAAGGCAAATGGATTGAGTGAGGGAAGAAATGAAAGAGTGCCGCCCGTTTGTCCCATGCCGTTCCTGCTCTGCTCCGTCTGAGTCTGCTCTCAGATCTCAGGGCTATGGTGCCGCACGGGTGCATGGAGGGGGCTGGGGCACAATGCACACAACAAAACACACACACACACACACACACACATATTAACAAATGAATGTCTGCACAGCAAGGCTTGAAAAGAAAGAAATGTACTTTTTTCCAACTCTTCTAACCTCCATCATCTTCATTCCATCTCTGAAGCCTGTTTTTGTTTACTGGCATATGTACGGTTGCTTACAGCTTTTTCACCATCAAAGCATTTGAATCCACCAGAGTTGGCTCCACAAACTTTGACAGAAAACATAAACACACAGTCGCACACTGTCTCACACGTACTTGTATGTTGTCGGTGTGAACTGACCGTCGGTGCTGGCTTGTGGCAGCAGTGGACGGCTCTCTTTGATGATGCCCTGCTAGATTCGTCCGCCACTCTTTTTATCCTTCAGCCAGTTAGTTGGCTCAAAATTGACTCCAATTTGTGCTTCTCGTTTGAGTTACTGGTCGGCACAGACTCCTTTCTGTGTCCAAGCAGACTGTGACCATGCCCTTGTCTATTGCCTGAGAAGGTACAGAACATTGTGATCGGTTTAATATTGGGATCAGACATTTTTACAATTTAATGCGGCCGTATACTGTAACAGTCATATTCACTGAGCTGCAGTATAATTTTTTGAAAAATACTTAGACCTGTTACACCTGGCTTTTGTCTTGTGGAAGAGAAAAATGTGTCCTTAAATATGCAGATGCTATGACGTATAGCTAACAGGATCTGGACTAAGCAAACTTGCATGTTTGATTTTGACACATTAGGTATATTGGTATATGTTGCAATCAGAGCTGTCTGTGATCTATTTCTGTGTAGTTTGTATCCTAAAAATGCTAATCTTTTCTTAAATTCAAAGTAGACAGATTATTTTTGTCTCCCAGCTCACACTAAAGCCACTGTTTTGGTACAATACACAGTGATTGTCCAAAATCTAAAAACTGAGATTCTTTGCTGCAGAATGGCTCCTTGAATGCACGCGCGTGTTTCAGTTGGCTGAAAGTTTTTTCCATTGTAAACTTTTACTTTCTCTCTTCTCAATCACAGTTTCTCCTCCTACATAAATCTATTTGGTCAAATTGATTGATTGATTGATTTAGCTTTATTAAAACAGGGGGAGGTCATAAAGTGTTACACATCCATCGTAATAATTTTGAGAGAGGTAGATGTATCTTACATAATGTGATTGTTTTTACGCTGTAAATCTTAAAGATGGCAAGCTACAGTAACTACACACCTTAATCTTTTTCAGTTAAAAGGATCTAATGAGGTCAGCTCATCAGCTCTGTGGCCTTTTCACTGTTTCTGTAAAAACCATAATGTGTGCTATTTAATCAGGATGATAGAGTATATCTCATCAACGTTTTGTCTGAAAATCCGAATGACATGTCCAAAAAGCTAACAATAAATGCAAGAATCTAAAACAAAAAAAGTTTTTAATTTCTTCAACGGATGATTTCTTCTGGTCTTACAAATACACCATTTTTTTTACTGTATCTTTATGTGACAAAAGCAGAGTTCAGCAGAGAAAGACAAAAGTGATGTGAACTGACAATATTTTAATGGGGGGGATAAAAGACTGTAAGTGATCAATGGAGGCGGCAGCCAAGTGATGCCCGGGGGACGGCTTTGATGTGGGCAACCTCAGAGGGACGCCAGGGACAATGCCCTCTTTGAGGCGCATGCAGAATGGCAGACACTTCCCTCTCTCTCGCTCTCTCTCACTCAACCTCCCTCCATCTCCTGCTCGCTCCGCTCACACTGTGACTCTTCGGTTCAGACGCCTGTTGGCGTTTCTTTCGCTCCACATTCCTTTACTCCAGTGTCACATCAGCCCATATCCTTATCTGCATAACTTTCTCCCTCTTCCTCTCACATTAATTAATTCAAACAACACCCCCTTCCCTGCTGCCCAGCCAATCACTCCGCCTTCCCGTCCCCCCCGTCCCCTATCTGTATCTCTCCCTCCCTCTGTCTCCTTTCATAGAACCAAACCCCTTTGTAATTTCCAGCCTTGGCAAGTTGCGCCCGATTTGCTGTCACAGTCTTAATGAATTCATCTGTTTGTGTATTGGCCATGGGAGCATTTCTCCCTCCCTCCCCCTCTCTCTTTCCTATCCTCTCCCCCCTCCCTCTTGCTGGTGTTCCCCTGGGGACTCTATATATACCAGGGACAACTCCAGGCACCTATTGTTCCTCTAAGTAAACTTACAGACAGATGCACTGCACCACATTGTGGGAGAGAGCCCAAAGAGTCAGGAGGAGGGAGACATTTAGCGATTGCAGAGAGCAAACAGACAATAAGGAACTGGAAACACTGCAGGCTAGCCTCATCTCCAGGACCTCTGCATCCTCTTTCCGCGTGTCTCCTGCCTGCCTGCTTATTATCACTGTGGAGTGGAGGTCTGATGTTCTGACACCATGCTGCTTCTGCTATCACTGCTGCTTATGGGACTTGATTGCTTGCTGGGAGCCCCAACAGGGCGAGAGGTCTACAGGATGCCACAGAGTGCGCTCAAAGGTAATTGTTCTATTTAAAAATATTATTATCTCAATTATGGCAATATATGTTAAGAGTAGTGATGACAGTACATAGTTTGGAAACCGTTGAGTGTTTACTTCTATAATATACTAATATATAGTGCTTCAGCATTTCTTATAGACACATTTTAATCTTTTTTTATTTAATGCATCATAATGAGAACCCTGCAAACCAACGCTGGTGATGCTGTGATGCTTCAAAAGAGGACAAAACAATGGTGCTACTACTAGTCCCTATGAGTAAGCCCGAGATGGGCAAACAGCTGACACGTGCAAATCTTAGAAATGCTTTATTTTTCTATAGGCTTACTTGTGATTGAAGTTGGTTCATTGCTGATGTGCTTACAGATACAGATTAGATATATATATAGTTTATATTTTAGTGGTTTACTGATAAACAGCAGGTATCTCACCTTAAAAGAATTGTATGCTGTGCATTTCAGCACTCATCTTCACAAACTGTCTTCACAGCATTAAAGAATAGAAATATTATCCTAGGCGTGTTTTTGTCTTCTTTAGTCTACATTGTTTTCATTTTGGCACTTTCTCTGGCAGGTTTGTCAGAGAGCTACTGCAGAGAAACTTGTTAAATCCTGCAGTAGAGCACTGTGATGAGGGACCTCTGGCCTTCTCTGATTGAAGTGCTGAGTACAGCAGAGCCTTCATACATACGGCTGGTGATGGCAATGTATGGGCTGCCAGCCCGTGCCCCTACGGCCTGTCCCTGCCTGCCAGCCTCTGCCAGCTCAGCCCTGGCCTTCTAATTAAGTCTTCAATCAGCATTGTTGTTGTTAGTGGCCTATCCTGTGATGTGGTGCGGCACAGAGGGGGGCTGCAGGGTTGGCGGTCCGATTGATGTGTGTCTGCAGAAGCCTCACCAGCGCGCTGAGCGTGAGCTAGCTTCCCTAACACGCTGCCAATGAGCTCAAAGAGCAGCATGAGAAAAAGGGGGCTGCTCACACACATACCAGAAAGCTGCTGTAGTTCATACTAACGCTCACATACACACACAAGTGTTCCCACAGCAAATAAAAGTCTTTCATGCAACGACCTAGAGGTCCTTCCTGTTCCTCACTGCTGTGCACTTGTTTGTGTCTTATTCTCTCTCGGCATATCTCCTCTTTTCTAGCTTGTCTTGCATCTTAATTGTTTTTTATATATTTTTCAATTTTCTGTTCTTTCTTTTCTCTTTCTTCCTGTCCTCCCTTGCAGCTCTGTCTGATCGTGGCACTGTTGTTCTAGAGGCGGCCATGGCTAGTGCCCTGTCCGCTCTCGAGCGTGCATCATCTGAGAGGAGTCGGGCTGAAGCAGGCTGCCGGGGCTGTGCTCCCTGTTTGTTTCAGGACTGTGGACAGCTGTCTGGGTCCTGCTGTAAGTAAAGGATTTCTCTTCTTGGCCTTTTCATAATTGAGCATCTTGAGTGACATTGTCCTGTATTACCAATGAATGCTTTCTTAGTGTCCATAACAAATCTCCTCTTCCCGCCCAACAGCGTCTCCTGCCAGTGCCTTATCAGAGCCCAGCTGTGATGTCATCAGTAAGGCCCAGAAGCTTCAAGATGAAGCTGAGCGGAGTTGGGCTCTGAGCCAGGCCTGTGCCTACTATCAGCATCGCTGCCCACCAGGTGAACTGGACAAGGAGAGCTGCATCAGGATCATGGGTGAGAGTTGCAGCGCCCGTGTCCTCCAGTGCAGCCTGCTTAACACAATGCAGAACCTGGAACCTGCTACACAGACGCATGCACAGGGTGAGGGGATACATGTGTTCACAAAGACATATGCATTCAGATTATCCAACTTTCTCTGTCCGTAAAGTCAGTGAAAAGGTGTGAGGCTAATTTGTACAGCTCCAGTATTATGTGTTTGTCTACAAAAAGCTGATTTTGCAGCCTTTTTTTGACCATCAGTGTCACTCTGTCCCAGCAGCAGTGTGTGGTCAGAGGTTGCCCACGGGGCAAAACATCACACAGCCTCGCTCCCGGATTGTGGGCGGCTCTCCTGCTCCTCCAGGCAGCTGGCCATGGCTGGTCAACCTCCAGCTAGATGGTGGCCTGATGTGCGGAGGGGTCCTGGTGGACAGCTCCTGGGTTGTCACTGCTGCTCATTGTTTTGCCGGGTGAGTGTGCATCACTGTTTTCTCACACTAAAATAAGATCTTCGATTTGTCTGTTGCATTTGAGAATATTACACGTTTTTTTCTACTCTCACTCCCAGCTTCTCTTATTCTTCTGACCTCTGTAGCAGCCGCAGTGAGAGCTACTGGACAGCTGTGGTGGGGGAGTTTGACATCACCAAGACTGACCCTGATGAGCAGGTTCTCAAAGTGAACCGCATCATCCCTCATCCTAAGGTAACAATGCAAAGTATGGAATATATAAATATATAAAGTGGGATAGAAATCATATAGTATTATCTCTCCTTGGTCAAACAATTAAACAACCAGATCAGTCTGTTAGTCTTAAAATAATGTAATGAATCAAACTTTTTCCTCTTCCTGCAGTTCAACCCAAAGACATTTAATAACGACATAGCCCTGGTGGAGCTTACATCTCCAGTGGTCCTGTCCAACCGTGTCACCCCGTGTGTCTACCCTCTGGCGTGGACCCCCCTACTGGCAGTCCATGTCTGGTGGCAGGCTGGGGCTCCCTCTATGAGGGTCAGTGGGTGATCATTAACATGGATTTTCACTTCAGAGCTATTTACAGCTTAGTTTTCTGCTAGCAAGCTTAAATGCTTTTTGTTTCCCTTTTGAGAGACTATGTGCTGTTGATAAGGACAATGAGTTAGCAAATTTTTATTCTTCTCTACAGACGGTCCGTCTGCTGACGTGGTGATGGAGGCCAAGGTGCCCCTGCTGCCTCAGAGCACCTGTAAGAGTGCCCTTGGTAAAGAACTGGTCACCAATACTATGCTGTGTGCTGGCTATCTCTCTGGAGGCATAGACTCCTGTCAGGTGGGCAGAACCGCATCATTTTCTTTGTGTTCCTCTTTTTAGGTCTTTCAGGTTATTTGGGAATTTTCTCCAATTAGTGAATTGACATACCTTTAATTCACTGTAAAAAATCTGATCCTCTTTTTGTTTCTGAAACTTTTTTTTTAGCAACACCAAAGTATCTTTGAAAATACGTCATTTTCAGATCAGCATTTTTTTTTTAATCTTTGGGGGATTTTCTGTCACGTGTAGGGAGATTCTGGAGGCCCCCTTATCTACCAGGACCGAATTTCAGGTCGGTTCCAACTCTATGGCATTACCTCCTGGGGAGACGGTTGTGGGGAGAAGGGCAAGCCTGGAGTCTACACGCGGGTGTCTGCTTTCTCTGACTGGATTCAGGCTGAGATACAAAGTGAGTTTCAAGCAACAACAGCGCCGCAGAAACTGAATTATTAGATATTTTCACATACAACATACTTCTAAATATTATCTACAATCTATGATTATCTTTTTAGAGTCATTTGGAAGCAGGGAACCAACATGTCCGGAGCTTCTAAAGACAACAGAAATGACGGAGGAGGGACAGAGGTCAGAGTTCACCTCTCTTTGTCACTTCTATACCCTGACCTGTCCCCCTGGTCAGTCTGATAGCGCTTGCAGCCGAATGGCAGAGGATAAGTGCCTCACCCGCTTCAAGAAATGTCGTGAGTAAATATACTGACTTGTTATTCTTTATGCTAGGTCATGCTTTGAGGTTTCTAATCTGTTGCTCGATCTCTGCCATCTAGAGTTGCGTTCGTTCCTGCAGACCTTGTTGGACTTGCTCCAGAGGGCCGAGGATTACATCAGGGACAAAGTCGACTTGACGTTCTTCACCCAGACTCTGCCTCAGCTGGTGGAGCACATATACAGCACAGCTTTCACCCACACCAGAGAGAGGAGGGACCTGGGCCTGAGCCATGGTCGCACACAGATTGAAGGTACATGACAGATTATGTTATTACATATTCTGTCCAAACATAAAATGTATAGATAACTTAATAGATAACCATGCAAACACTCATTCACCCTGCGGTGTTGTAACAGGTTTTTTATTACTTGCAGAACAGCTAGGTGGAGCTGTGGTGCCAATTGAGCAGGGTCCTTCTCCAGTTCCTCCAGCCTTATTCAGAGAGGTGGGACCCTCAGTGGATGACTGGGAGAAATACCTGAGGAACACGGCTGAGGACCTGGACAAACAGCATTCTGACACATCCACAGACATCTCCTCCACACCAACAAGACAGGAGGACAACCTTTTCTTACAGGTAGGTCATATTTCTAAAATGTCCAAATGAAGATGATGTATGCATCGCATTATATGACAGTATATTCCCTGCACAGCCTGATGTTTTTATATTAAGAAAAAACTGTACAACTATCTCAATCAGTAATGGTTAAATGGTGAGGTTAATCGATTCGGTTTTAGTATAAACCTTGCAATATCAAAGAGCACAGGCTTCTTTCTAGCCTCATGGTTTTGCTTGAACATTCATTGAGCATTCTTTTTGGACGAGGCATTCTGGGAAATGCCAGTGACTGAAGCGGATGTAATTTTGATGTCCACATCAAAACTTTTGATGTGGATTTATATGAAGATAATCTTAATGCTGGTGCTGGAAATTTATTTCAGGAGCAATTTGTTAGATTTGTTAAAATTCTCTTTACAAGCCGACAGCAATCAATAAAATCAAATGCTCTGACACAAAACTGAAAACAATCCAGTGACTGCCAATGGTTTCATTCGGTCCAGGTGGAATCTTTTCAAAATCTAGCTGTCTCTTGCTAGTTCTCCAACACTGCCTACCCTAACTTTCAGTCTTTTTTTACATGTCATCTACAGACGGAGGACTCATTAGTACATCAGCTGGAGGGAGAATTCCGATCTGTTATTGTAGCTCTTCGCTCCAAATTGGCCTCCAGAGCTGCTCCTCCCATCCTGCACTTGGATACAGTCTACCTCCAGGAGGAGTCTCCCAACAGCCCCCCTTTTCCTACGTCTTCCACTGCTGCACCGGTCCACACCGGCCACACCTCCTCCTCCCCAGAATCCCAGCAGCCATGGTCACTTCTAACAGCCCTGATGAATGAAATTCAGACATTAAGAACACAAGATGACATTGTGACAGCAGATGCATCACAAAGTGACACGTCATCCGATAGCGATGCGTCTCTTGGTGTCAGATGGAGCACCATGTCAGAGGATTTTACTTTTGTTAAAAATGAAGATAGAACAGAATTAAAATCAAAGTTACCACTTCCAGCGCAGTCAACAACTGACGTTCAACCGATCACTGAGGGCGCTCACACAGAGACGACTGCTGACCCCAGACAAACTGTGCATGCTGTAAAGACTTTAAGTCTTCGCAGAAAATACAGGAGCCTTCTGCGCAAGAGGCAGATACCAGGGGCCAGTGGGAAAAGTATGTGCCACATCCAGTTCTGACAGAACTTTCATTGAAGACTATTAAAAATTTTATTATTTCTCTAATGGAATGTTTTTGTTTGTTCCTGTAGTTTGTCCTGGAGTGAGAGAGTCCTCACAGCAAGTCAGCCAAGTCAGAGACACTTACAGCTGGGTCTTAAGCATCCCAAGCAAGAACGTACACATGAGCTTCCAAGAGGTAAATTTTAATTTTAGATGAAGTTATGAGATGTAAATGTGCACTGGTAAAGCTAAATGTTTATAACTTCTCTCTCTGTTCCCCTTGCTTCATTGGGTCTCTCTTTTGTTCAGGTGTTAGTTGATCTGGGCTCTAAGAATGATCGAGGACTTTACCAGGCGCGGGTCAGAGCAGTAGTGGGAGGACGACCTTTGACCTTCTACAGTCTCGTGGGCCTGGAGAATGAGTCATTCTACCGCAGTGTGCCAAGGATCATTGCTTTGGCACTAGAGGCACTTAAGACTTAACTTTATCATAACAGCAAGTGAACAAATAAATGAAAGAGGATAGTACAAAGACTCTCAAAGAGACCTGTTTGAAAAGAACCCCCCTTGTTCATGGGACACAGAGACGCACATAAAACGCACACGAACATTACCTGGGGTCTCCTGTGAAAAGCATGATTTTGTTTTCCCCATCTGAGAGCCTGACTTTGGCTCAAAATGAAAACACAACCATGAATGTATCAACCCAACTACTGGCCACCCATCATGCCATGCATTTTGTTTTGTTTATGTGGTTGGAGACACAGCCTTGTCTAACTTATGAATCTGTACAAAATGATAAGTTATTCATATTGTCTTTTGCAAAGGTTGAGCCTCTTGTAAAGCACACAGACTGTACATATTCATATTCTTACCTTATTACTATCATATTTATTTGTATAGAGAAAAGTATTTGTATTTTTGTAAAAAAACAACAACTATATATATATATAAATAAAATTGTTATTAATTTTGGCATGTTGTGTTGAATGTTAATGTTATGTAATACCAAATTGAACTATTGCTATGAGGTTCAAATTAGCTGCTAATCCTGCAGCATTTTGCTACTAGTGTACAGCAGTTCTGCTGAGACCCAAACGTACTCTCTTGAGACAGGGTTTCAATGCTGATTAGTTCCTCTTGGGACTTCAGCTTGGCCTCAATCCTCCAACACTTGGATTTGGACAGTGTTGAAGATTTCCCATCAACACAGCAGCTGCTGTGCTGTGGTGACCAGTACCTCCCACCTCCTTCCTGTCTTCACTCCTATTTCCAAGACAGTCAGTTGTAACTGGACACAGAAGTATGGCTGATCTTTAGCATCTCTTACTGTCTGGCTTCAGTCTTGAGCATTTTAAATCAACTGTTGTCTTGAGTTGTAAGCAAGCCCTGTCTGCACTGTGTGTTGACTTTTGTCCACCTCGCTGTTGCTGCCAAGTCTCAGCGACTGAAAAACCCAATGTAACACAACTAATAACTGCCCACTAATCTAAAGTAGTTTTCTGCTAGTGCTAAAAGAGGGATAGACAGGGATGTCAGTGTAACAGCTGAGTAAACACACACACATACTTCTGTTGCAACACATCAACTCCTGCCTCTGTCTTGCGTATTCATGTGTGTGTGGGAAGTGCGCCAAATCATGGCGGGAACAAGTATTTTTATGACGCGCACACACACACACACACACACACACACACACACACACACACAGTAATGACAGACCACAAATGTGCCAGCAACCTCCACTGAGCCTGCTCAGTCATCACAGAGGCTGTGCTGTAAATGGACTGTTGTCCACTCTATGGCTTCTTTAACTTTCTGGCTTTCAGACACACGCAGTGTTGCTGCCCTCTCCCTCTCTTTATTGTGCAATCTGTCTGTCTGTAATCCTTTTATTGAAGAGAACACATTTAACCATGTCTTCTGGTGACTGTTAGCTCCCTTTTAATAGATCACTGATGTACTTTGTTTGTGTGGACATCTGAATGACAACAACCAGGTGCACTAAGCAGAATTACAATACATTGTGTGTTTTGATGGTGTACCTTAAAGGGTAACGTCAATATTTTTCAACCTGGGCCCTATTTTCCCATGTTTTTGTGTCTATATGACTAAATGGGACAACATTTTTTGAAATTGGTCCAGTATTGAGCGAGCGCACTGCAGTCAGCAGCAGCAAAACAGAGCTGCAACATAATCCTTGTAGGCTTTTGCCCCTGTCAAAGGACGTCCACTGATGTACTTGTTTTTGCCATTGAGAGGCTCAGATTGTTATTGTGCCTGACAACATTGTGGAAAGGATCCTTACAGCGATAGACCTTTTTTTAAAGAGGAAGATCTTTTTTGTGCAACCAGAAACAGTCGCTATTTTGTTCTTGTCAAAGCCACCAGACTCCATTGACAAAATTATTAATAGTCCATTGTTTTGCCTGTCAATGCCAAAAACAAACACTTTAGTGAAACTCACTCGCTCAGTACTGGACAAAAAAAAAATGTTGTACCAATTGTTCACTTAGAGACAAAACCCTGGGAAAGTAAGGTCATTGAGTCCAATGCTTAAAGCATGTCATGTCATGTTACCAGTGTGTGTGTGTGTGTGTGTGTGTTCTGTGACAGCTGGCATTGTAGTACTGGAAATACACTCTTGTATTTAACCGTAACAATCATCAACTCCCCCACCAACCCCCAACCCTTCCTTTAAACATCTACCCTCCCATCAGCCCATGCCCCAACTTTTGCTTTAAAACACACAAACACACACACACACAGGTCGAGTGCCAGCAACCCTGTCAAGTAGTGTCCAAATTAGTGATCATAGCTTTGTTTCAGACAGCACAACACTAATGGATTCTGGACCTCCGCTTTCTCTGTCACTCTTCGTAAGGGTGTTTCTGATTTCTGCCACAGGTAGGAACGCTTGCAAATTAGCCTCATTTAGGAGACATTTTACAGTGTGTTTTTAGTTTCTAGGTATTTGTATGGTGTGATGTGACTATGTGAAGTCAGATTGTCACACTTATAGTGAATTCAGTGCAACAAACATTCTTTATGAAGGATCCTGCCATAATTTACATAACATTTGGCTCCTCGAACTGTGATATCAAGATTCATTTTAACAGAGACAAACAGTTTAAATAGTGCTTTTACTAGTACTGCAGTACTTTGCCCCATTAGTCATGAAGCTTATGTTCTCACATTCAAACAAAATGTGGAACTCATCTCCCAGACAATTGTCGTTACAAAAGTAGCAGTGCACCGAACACCAAACTGTGACAGGTTCAGTAACAAATGACAACGAGGGTAAAATCTTGTTGGAGATGTAAATTGTTACTGAAATACACTGCATTATTTGGCAGGGCATGTATACAAAAGTAGACAGAACTTGTAGTGGTGGACCATACTCATACTATATGTGTTTAGTGTGGTCTACTGTTCAGACTAAAATTGTGAAAGATTTCATGCTGGCTCCAGTTCTCATTTCGCCTGAGGATGCATCAGGTGTCCGCTGTTATACAATATCTATATAAAGAGGTTGATATGACATCATGTAATACTTGACACCAACCAAACAAGAGCAACATTTGGTCGATGTTGGTAAGTTTGCCAAATGGCATGTAACACATTAGTTGATAAGAAGACAAGATAATTTTTTTGCTATAGTTGAGTTTGCTAAACCAGATAGACAGACACCCCCACCTCCTCAATGCCTACATTCATACAACTTCACAAGTCCAGTTTTTAATGCAGAGTGTTTCTGACAATGTTATGTCTTATGTGGAAGCCGAGAAAACCCTAAAATCAATGTGAAAGCTCCTTGCAGAGCCGCATGAGACACTATACAACCAAACTGAACTTAATATGTAAAATTGATGGAGTGCCTCTTTAAATTAATCACTTGCTTCAGTATTTCATATGTTCTTGCCCTGACCTCTGGTTTGTCTGCAGCATCAGCACTCAACCTTGAAGGGGAACTATTTAAGGAATTGATGAAGGGTTACAACAAGAACGTGCGGCCCACGGAGAAGAGCGGTGACATCACTCAGGTCAACATCAAGATGACGCTGACCAACCTCATCTCCCTGGTGAGTGAAGTTCATTCTGGTGTTTTTGATGAGTCCCAGTGGCTGCAACAACATTGTTTACTAAACTATCACTCTTTAGAATGAAAAGGAGGAAGCCCTGACAACCAGCGTCTGGATAGAAATGGTAACCTTACACCTTGCTTTGCAATGATAGTGAATTTTAACATAGTAGTGTATCTGCAAGACATGGTCAAACCTATAGTATTTCTGTATGTAGCGATGGTGTGACTACAGGCTCAGATGGGACCAACCGCCCAGGTCAGCTCTGTATGGGAACATCACCTCTGAGCTGAGGGTCCCCTCCAAGAGCATCTGGCTGCCAGACATCATTCTGGAGAACAAGTGAGTGCAACAACCTTCACATTTTACACCTCAGCCAGCAAGCCACTCACACCTTCATTGAGCAAGTTTTCACACTGGAATCCCCTCATAGCCACACTGTGTAGCCCTACATCAATTAGTATAAAAGCACAAAAAGCAAAAAGCAAAAAGTTATGCTTTCTTTTTATGGCGCTGTTATTTCACACCATAAAAGGTGATTGTGAAGGCATGTTGCCTCCTTAGTGGATTTCCCATTGAAAGGATTTTGTAATCAAGATCAAAGTTAGTGTTAGTGAGTATGGCAGCTGTACATGTGGGCAGACCTTGATCAAACAATTAGAAACTAACTGTTTACAAGAAATTATAGTAATAAACTAAAACAAAATAAATTGTAGTTCATAGTTAACGTGTTTATCAATATCCATGAATAGACTCTGTAGGATCTCAAAGATAAGAGGTGCAAAGAGGTGCCTCTTTATATCGTTATGATTTGTGCAAGATGACTGTGTTTTTACTAAATACTTTTGCTAAGTGCAGCTTTACGGTTGACATAGGTTAACTTGAGTGTATCCATATAATACGATAATGTAGTAACAATGTGTCTGTGTGCGAGTTCGAATGCGCCAGCAAAGGTCTGTTTCCATCTGTTCTAACCTGTGCACAGTGTGGATGGACAATTCGAGGTAGCACTTTACTGCAATGCACTCGTGTCTTCTAACGGCTGTGTGTACTGGCTGCCCCCTGCCATCTACCGCAGTGCTTGTACCATCACCGTCAACTACTTTCCCTTTGACTGGCAGAACTGCACCATGGTCTTCCGGTGAGTGGAGACGAGGGTGTTGGGATTTGATGATTGGCCAGTATGAAGTACTTATAAAACTCTATTTACAGTATTACTGCAGTATTATACAATAACTGTTAAGAATAAAAATCACCTCAGGCTCACCAATTGTGCAAATCTTTGTGCAAAAGAAGTATGGATGTAGGTATGAATATTTTATAATAATCATGTTATATATGTGCAATATATGTAATATACAGAAATAATGCTAGCATAATACTATAATAGTGTTAGAACACAGTAATAACTATATACACTAGAATTAATATAGTATTGGTATATAGTAATAAGATATAATGCAATGTAAAATGAAAGTGTTATGTTACTACTTTGTATATTACTACTCCCATAGTAATAATTTACTGGTAATTGTATATTATTATTATTATTATTATTATTATTATGAATTATTATTGAAATTATTGTGATTACTGATTATTTAGAATAAATATTGTTTCTGCAGCGAATAGATGGTGGTGTTTGTGGTTGGTGACAGGCCATATGTCTTGTCCCTGTGTTCAGCTCCCAGACTTACAGTGCCAATGAGATCGAAATGGTTCTCAAAGAGGAGGATAACCACACGTTGGAGTGGGTGGATATCGACCCACAGGCTTTCACAGGTATAGCAACATTTGAATAATAGATTTTGAATAATTATTCAAAATAAAACAATCGTTACGTTCTCAAAATGAAAGACTCTAATTTTGTTATTGTTAGAAAATGGAGAGTGGGTCATCAAACACAGGCCTGCTAAGAAGGTGATCAATACTCAGTTCACTAAGGATGAGCTGGAGTACCAGGAGGTGGTCTTCTTCCTCATCATCCAGAGAAAACCCCTCTTCTACATCATCAACATCATCGCCCCCTGTGTGCTCTTCTCCTCCCTCTGCCTCCTTGTCTACTACTTACCTGCCAAAGGTCTTTTTCCTCACTTTGTATATCAAAAAGCCTGATCTTAGGTAGTCATACCTCTGTCACGTCAACGTCATCCTTCATGACCTTCATGTGATGACAGACTCTCTGACAAGACAGAAGAATAAGAAGTCATTAGTATCTGTTTTAATTGAACACAAAACCTCATCACTACTGACTGAATATTGGTTTGAGTTTTGCAGCCGGGGGTCAGAAGTGCACCATGTCTGTTGCCACTCTTCTGGGCCAGACTGTGTTCCTCTTCCTTATCGCCAAGAAGGTTCCAGAGACTTCGAAGGCAGTGCCTCTTATTGGAAAGTAAGTTTTGTGTGGTCACTCTAAGATTTCGGTTCAGACTTTCACCTACCACCGATATGAAATAGTGCTGAAAAAGATGTGATTTATGAACCTTTGGCTGCAGGTATTTGATGTTTGTGATGTCAGTGACCACCATGGTAGTGATGAACTGTGTGATAGTCCTCAACGTCTCCCTGAGAACCCCAAACACTCACATAATGACAGACAAAGTTCGAAAGGTGAGACTGAGGCCAGACAAAACCCTTTTCTGAATGTAATTTCCATTAAGAAGCTTTTGAATGAACATACTGTGAAGTCAACATGGGTCTATTTGCCACTGGATTACCTTCTGACCTTGTGTCCTCTTCAGATCTTCCTAAACATCCTGCCTCGGCTGCTTAGGATGCAGATGCGACCCTGGACACCAAACAATGGCAACACCTCACACACTGTAAACGGTGAAACTCTGGTTACAGACAGGAGCGGCGTGTTCCTGCTCCCCTGCCGACGCCGCAGCTCCATGAGCCTCATCACCAAGGCGGAGGAATATGTGAAGAAAACAGCTCGGTCTGAACTCATGTTTGCCAGACTTAAAGAAAGAAACGGATTGATGAAATCAGTATTAGAGAAGCTACGTAAGTGTTTGAATGAGTTTTGCATGAAGTGCACCTAAGAGTGTGTTCCCTCTTGTGATCTCGCAAATACCTGATCTGTTTTGTACACAGATGATGGGCTGGAGGGGGGTACAGCTGAGCAGCTCAGTGTCAGCCTGGCAAAGGCCTCTCCTGAACTGAAGCAGTGTGTGTCCTCCTGCAAACACATTGCTGAGACTGCAAAGCAACAGAGCAACTTCCAGAATGTAAGCTCCACATTTTTATATTTGCCCAGCTTCTCGGGTTAAAATCAACATCAGTGATAATCTCCAATTTTTCTCAATCCCAGGAGAATGAAGAGTGGTTCCTGGTCGCCCGTGTGATCGACAGGGCCTGCTTTATTGTCATGGCGTTGTTGTTTTTCATTGGCACAATCGGAATCTTCCTGATGGGCCATTTCAACCAGCCTCCCTCCTCACCTTTCCTCGGGGATCCCAAGAAGTATCTCCCTCCAACAAACAATCTAACAAGTCTGTCTCAGTTAGATCAGTTTTGATCTATCAGATCAGTTAGATCTGTTTTGATCTAACTGAGAGAAGATACCGCTGTGTGTTTTAATTTGGTAGTGTGGGTCTGTGGACTATAACAAAGTCAAAAGTGCCACAGCACAGATATGTGGACGCCACGCTTGATCTGTGATGACGCATACCAGCATCAGCTGTGACTGATTGTTGAGGTTGAAAATGTTTTTGCATAAAATGCTGTATAAGAAAAAAAGAGCAATTTGTAAGTTTACCTTTTCACCTGCTGTTGATAAAATTCAAGGCAATCATGATAAACAGCTTGAGACGTCTGTTGATGACACACATAAACAGTGAACGGTAGCCAAATGTACCAAATAAATGCTTTTATCAATAAAGGTAGTAGTATCTTGTGCACACTCTCAGACATGTCTAAATCCCCCTGTGTTTGACAACCCCCCCCGCCTCCCGAACACAGACTCTACACTACACTGCCCCCCACCTCTTGAAGCAGGATTTCAATTACATGGCTGAGTGGTGCCTTTCTAACCCAACAAAAGGCAGATCCGGCTGGTTGGGATGGAAACGGGAGTCAGGGGGTGAGACAGAGCCGGGGGGACATCTCTCCAGACAAACACACACCCACAAAGCCAAACATTACTACGTGAATATTCACACAAACACACAGAGGTGGTGAGTAGGTTTGTGCTACACCCCTTCCTGATCATGACAACTCATAGGCGTTCTCACAGTTAGATAAGTCTTTCGGTACCTGGATGCTTGACCACAGATGGTAAGCAAGAGCCCTTCAATTCTCTATTGTGCTATTTTCTGTCTTTACATGCCATTTTGACATAAAAAGGGTACAATGCTGTGGAAGATGTTAACCATTTGGGCACCTGTTGTATCAATCACTGTCTAGAAGCAGGACATGAGATAGGGCTTCATTATGGTACTGTGATCATCTTTGTTGCGGAGGAATATACAGTGTTGCATGCAGCTGCAGAATGGGACCAAGCTGAGTGAGTGTGATGTGAATAAAAAGGAGGCAGGGGCCGGCTGCTGTGATGAAATCACTGTTTTAAGGGAAGGATGTTTATGTTGGTGCCAGAGAACTGAACCTGCTGAGCTGCTGTAAGGAACCTTGTGTGTTTTTTTTTCTTGAACTTTCCCTCATAAATTCAAGTCTTCATAGGAAAAAAGCTTTAATTGTAAACCCCCCACGAATCTAAGGGGTTGTGAGAGGATTTTCTGATTGCCATTTTCAAAACTAAATTCTACCACACAAAATGTCTTTGCTTATTTTCTATAGCCTGCTTTAGGTGGACAGTATAATGTTATTATATTCATCTGACCCCAACCAAAAAATAGCTCATGTATCCCACCCTCATGGATGCAGCTCCATCTGGCACAACTTATAATAATTATTTTAATTGCCTACTTTCATCTCTTAACATTACTTTCACCCCTAATTTACATCAAATAGGGCAATATTTTGCATCACATAACCCCAAAATTTGCCAGAACATTTCTCATAACTTAATACTTCACTGAGGAAAAGTGTAAGAGCTCATTTCACACTTGCTGTTGTGGGTGGGGGGCGGGAAAAGTCAGACTTCCATTGTCGTAAAATACATTTCATAGCTGCTGTCACAGAAAGAAAGACTATTTTACTAATTTGTTCATTTAATCTGCAAATGTAATATTTAGGAAATGCACAATGGTTGTACTGGACGTTTTTTAACTCCATAAGGACAATTTAAATTCTAATAATAATAATAACTGTAACTGAGAACATCCCAGTTAATTGTGTTTCACTATTCTGGTAACTAAATAATTACATCGAACATAAATTACTGATGTCTCATACACACACCCGTCACACAGTATAACATGTAGTTGTTTGTCATTATTATGTATTTGCTGAGTTCCACATATATTTTCAGTTTTATACCATGTCAGCAGTGACCAATCAGCCTCTTCCCTTTGGTCGACTGGAGCGAGAGAAGCATGTCCAGATGATCTTCAGAGCTTTCCAGAACCGCTGTGCGCCTTCATGTGAGTGCCACACTGGCTCACCTGGAGCCAAAGCCCACCAAACGCCTATTGACTTGGAATCTGATGAGCAGCCGGCAGGTCCGGCTCCTGGGAGGAAGGTGGAGGACGGCTACACGCAGCCACTGGGGAAAGCGTGCAGGCCGGGGGTGGAACAGCAGTGGCCTGGAGGTGCAGCGGGATCACACTTTATGTCTGTGCTGGACACAGTCAGTCAAATACACATCACTGTCAGACCAGAGCTGCAGGGTGAGTAGGATGGGTTGATTGTGTGAATGCGTGTGTTTCTGTGTTTAAAAGGGGATAGCTGCAGTGCAGAGATTTGTCTGTTTTTAAAAGAATGATTCATCATTGCAGGCCCAACGTGTGTTCCCAGGAGGATCTACAATATCACCACAGGAGGGTCACAGTTATTTGTGGCCGTGGAAGGTACTGCTCCCTGTCCAGCTTCACCCATCCCATCTGCATCTCATGTACAGTGAATGATGGTGTTTTTTCACTGTATCCTCAGTCTCTCCTTGATCTCTCCCTACTGTCAGAGAGCTCTTGTGTGTGCCTCCAGTGTTGCGGTCCAGCCCGGGCCTGTTCACTGCAGGGTTTTGACTGTCAGGGCCACCAGGCGTTTTATTTTGAAAGGCCTCTCAGGGTTGACGCCTGCTGCCTCGGCTGCTGCCTGATGGAGATGAGGGCCTACACACCTCAGAAACAACTCATTGGCACTGTATGCCAGAGGTAGGCTGCATCTGTTTCTATTGGCCTTGCCTAACTTGAACAGCGCTGGAAAGTACAGTATTTTACTCTATTTTATACTTGTGCTCCACTATATTTCACAGGGAAATAGTGCACTTTTAACTTCACAACATTTATTCAAAGTCTGTATTTATTAGTTACTTTGCAGATTAAGATTATTCATGTAAAACACATGATCACTTTATAAGATATGGTACATTGCTATAAATTAACTATCCAGCAAAGTGGTTAAAATTAGCTACTTACACATTAGAGAGCTTATGCCATTGATTGATTTCACTACTAATACTTTGGTACATTTGCGTGTATTTTTACATTGTCATATTAATACTTTTACTTAAGTAAATGCCATTACTTAATCACGGAAATTAAACTTATTTTCAATAAGATATACAAAATAAGAACACCCTTAATAATACCAAACCTACTACTGTCAGATCGTTTGAGATTTGAGACACGTCTCTGAGATTTGTGATGCTTTACAAATAATTTCCAGTAGAGGTGAATGTATTTTGTTTGGATGCTCACAGAATTAAATCTGTCTGTTTTCATTCAAACAACTTAGTGTAAAAAAAAAAAAAGTCCTTTTAACAATGTGTTCTGTGGGTTAACCAGAGTAATGGGACTCATTTTACGGACTAACCCACTGACCCCCACAATCAGAACACTGTACCAGCAATCTTAACATTTTACATTCTCAGACTGAACAACTCGTAATGTGAGCCTTTTTCCGTATCACTCCCAGCCAGTGGTCACTCTGAGCCACTGTAGATGCCCAGGCCTGTCTGTATATAGCAGTGACAGCCTTTGCTGTTCCACCCAGCTGGGGTGTATTCTAAACCTGGCAGAGATAATGCACGAAACAGCTGTCTGCACAGAGACACACTGAAGAGCTGGGAGGGAAGGAATGCGGCATCCTTCCTAATGGGAATGTTGGCTAATGGGAGATGTCGCAGCACTCCAACCAAAATACTTCCTTCTTCATGTGCCCTAAATCTGACTCCAGGGTTAGCTGGGGTGCCTTTGTATGTTGAATTTAGCTCTCCACAAGAAACTCAATGAAGTTGTCTCCAATTAGGACTGATCTGGCAGAAGTTTCGGTGACTTGGTATAAATATTCTCTCAGTTGTTGAATAAAGCATGTCCCAATTTGAGCTCTTCCGACACCAAGCAAACAATGGTTTTGGTGCTGCAGAATCATGACAGCTGAAAATGTGATCAACCAAGCATCAAAGCTGGGCTGCGCCAGTGTGTGAAGTACTGGCCAGTTTATCTGCCAGGTTGCTTATTGCATGGTTATGTAAGAAAATGTGCTGTGTGTTTCCTGACTGTGTTTTCAGGTGGAGCATGTTCACCCCTCTTCTGGAAGTGTGTGATTCTGAAGGAGCATTTACCGTCAGAATCCAGGGCTCCTATTGTCCATGCCGCTGTTTCTCCAACCAGCAATTCCAGGTAATATTTAAGAAACCCCAAATAAAACATTTGTTTCTACGTGTATTTCATTCAGTTTTTTGGCTGTTGTTCATACACCAGGTTGTCTCCAACATTGGTGAGAAAATAGGCACAATATGGAAGAAATGTCCCACCCCCACTGACGAACATAACATGGACCATGATTTTTTTGGGTTGGAAGGTGAGTTGTCGCTAAGGAAAGCCGATATCCTATTTCTCAAGAAGTGGTTTCCACACTTCTTCTGTCATGTCCCCCTTTAGAGGCCAAAACAAAGCCAAGTTCAATTTTATTTAAATAACATTATTAAGAGCATAACCAGTATGTTACTTTTCACACCCTGATAAAGTGACAGCAACACCAAAGACACAGGGCTCTTCCACTATACTGTCAGTGAACTCAACAAAAACGATAGACTAATTTACATTTAGCTTCTTCAGTTTCTGCTCACTTCTTTCTAAATAAATTGACACCCTAGCATCAGACTGTTCTTATTTCTTTAATGTTCCCAAATAGAGAATCAGTCTTTTTCACATTAGACATTTTGACTCGTCATAGCAGGAAAACCACATATGTTCCTAATATATTAACAACGGCTCCATTCTGGCAATTCATGCCATGCAATGCAGCAAATAATAAATTAGTTACACCTGTGTTTAGAAGTCAGAATGTCTGCTAAGAAAAGGAGTTATTCAAATTTTGCTTAACTTCACATTTTCTCCCTAGTCATATGCACCCCATAGCATGGGAACCACTGTTATGCAATATCTGCCTTTGGGGGTACCTGCAGCCTTTTAGACCCCATTCCCATTTCAAATTCGTAACTGCCATTTCTAAATCTCTCTTCCAGTGCCACTGAGGTTGGAATCACACAATAAACTGCTGCTGATGGCAGCCTCTTTCTTGTTGGTAAGCATTTGATATTTATTATCTTTCCCGCAAGAATATACTGTATATTGTTGTTAAAAGACACCTTTTTCACACAGTATTAAATGGGTTAATTCCATTTAGCTGTTTCTATTTTAGGTCTTGGTATTTTGCATACTGGCTCACTGGGAATGGGATTGATGTGTTATTAGTAACAGCTGTGCCTTGCCTATTATGACATACAGTGGGGAGAACAAGTATTTGATACACTGCAGATTTTGCAGGTTTTCCTACTTACAAAGCATGTAGGTCTAATTTGTATCATAGGTACACTAACTGTGAGAAAACAAAAATCCAGAAAATCACACTATGATTTTTAAATAATTAATTAGCATTTTATTGCATGACATAAGTATTTGATAAATCAGAAAAGTAGAACTTTTGTTTGCAATTACAGAGATCAGACGTTTCCTGTAGTTCTTGACCAGGTTTGCACACACACTGCAGCAGGGATTTTGGCCCACTCCTCCATACAGACCTTCTCAGATTTCAGGGCTGTCGTTGGGCAATACGGACTTTCAGCTCCCTCCAAAGATCTTCTATTGGTTCAGATCTGGAGACTGGCTAGGCCTCTCCAGGACCTTGAGATGCTTCTTACGGAGCCACTCCTTAGTTGCCCTGGCTGTGTGTTTTGGGTCATTGTCATGCTGGAAGACCCAGCCACGACCCATCTTCAGTGCTCTTACTGAGGGAAGGAGGTTGTTGGCCAAGATTTCGAAAACTTCAAACTTCAGACGGGCCTGGACATACACTGGCTTGAGCAGGGGGACCTTGTGTGCACTACAGGCTTTTAATCCATGACGGCATAGTGTGTTACTAATGGTTTTCTTTGAGACTGTGGTCCCAGCTCTCTTCAGGTCATAGACCAGGTCCTGCCATGTAGTTCTGGGCTGATCCCTCACCTTCCTCATGATCATTGATGCCCCACGAGGTGAGATCTCGCATGGAGCCCCAGACCGAGGGAGATTGACCATCATCTTGAAATACTTCCATTTTCTAATAATTGCTCCAACAGTTGTTGCCTTCTCACCAAGCTGCTTGCCAATTGTCCTGTAGCCCATTCCAGCCTTGTGCAGGTCTACAATTTTATCCCTGATGGCCTTACACAGCTCTCTGGTCTTGGCCATTGTGGAGAGGTTGGAGTCTGTTTGATTGAGTTTGTGGTCAGGTGTCTTTTATACAGGTAACGAGTTCAAACAGGTGCAGTTAATACAGGTAATTAGTGGAGCACAGGAGGGCTTCTTAAAGAACAACTAACAGGTCTGTGAGAGCCAGAATTCTTACTGATTGGTAGGTGATCAAATACTTATGTCATGCAATAAAATGCAAATTAATTATTTAAAAATCATACAATGTGATTTTCTGGATTTTTGTTTTAGATTCTGTCTCTCACAGTTAAAGTGTACCAATGATAAAAATTACAGACCTCTACATGCAAAAACCTGCAAAATCAGCAGTGTATCAAAAACTTGTTCTCCCCACTTTATCAAAATGCCTGTTGTGAAAAGGGGCCTATTTAATTAAATCCCTCACTGATCACTGACTCATCTGTTTTTCTCTACAGAATCACATGTTCTTTGAAATGAGCTGATAAATCCTGAGTCAACTGACATTGTTGGAAGTGGTCTACAACTAATGGACACTCCAGCCAACTCACTTTGACACAAGAGACTGCATCATTTCATAGTCTTTGTAAGACAACAGTGCAGGCTTGTGTGGCATTACCTGTGGGACAAACTTTGCTTTAAAACAATTCAACATTTGTGAAAGGAAATGAAAATGAACCAGCTTTAGCAGCAGATGCATATTTGACATTTATTGCTATAATCCATTAGGTGTACATCCAACAGTGTTTCTTCACTTTTGACACACACCTGCATCCATCATCACACCACCAAACATGGGCAGCATTAGTTTTTCAACAAACTATAGGCGCTTTCTTGATGGTTCCAAAAAAATGTTCAAGAGAAATTGATCAAAACTGTAACAGATCCTGACCCTATATGTATTTCTTTTAATACAAAATGGAAAAAGAGTGAAGGTCAGTGTTTCAGGAGTCCTATACAACTTTAAGGACATTAAAGCAGATCCCTTGGATTCATTAAAGGCGGGGTAAAGACAACACATACAGAAGGGAAAACTGGTTCGGGTCGGGCTTGAGGCCAGGCACAGTGATTTAGGCAGCTTGGCAGTCCATTCTTAAGATGCCGGTTATACAGCCTTCTGCCCAGCACAGGATGGTCTTCTTCCTTTGGGATTCAACTTCCAGGTCAAAGATGGAGAATCATTGCTGATTCAGTTAAGTGGTCTTTGAAGTGGACTGTATTTACAAAGATATTGTACACAATAATAGTAATCATTCTACTTTGAAATGACCAGAGGAATTGTAGTTAAAATACAGCACTATAATAAAATAACATCTACCTGCAACCCTGTTTCAGTCCCAATAAAACAGATTAACACAAACTTATTTGACAGCAGGAAGTGTGATGTTATGTTAAGCAATAAAATCTGAACTACTATTATACCAAACTGGTTTAGTTGTATTTTGTCAAGTACACTTTGTTAACAGCTAATGACCAGATCAGCAAACACCAGTCACATGGCCTCCCCCTGGTGGCAAGTTAACAGATGGTACACTTGCATAAAAAAAATTCAAATTAAAATGGGAGGCCGCGTCATTCTTCTCTGGTTGATTAAAAATAACGCATATTTCTCTCTTCGGATTGGTTCAGTGTTCTGTTGACAGGATTTCCAATTTTACACAATGAAAGGAACGGACTTCTTGCCTCTGTTCCTGTCTTCATTTTACACAGTGCCAATCCACGTAGGTGTACTCTTTCCTTGACTCGTAAGCCCCCAACACATCGCATATACACACCTGCACACCGAAAACAGGGACAAGCAACATTAGCATAACACAAAAGCACATCATCGAACAATGATGTCTTTCACTCCCAACTAATGCCGCAACAGTTCTTACTCTTGCAGAGGTTCTCTGTGAGAGGGGTTAACGTCCGCTGCTAGCATTCACCAGACCATGGAAGTCTTCCCATGCTCTGCAAGCAAAGGAGGATGCAGCACATCATCATTCACAAAAAAACCCTGTTCAGATAATCATGGCTTTTCAATTACAACAGCATCAATTTCCTGCAAAAGCACATGAAACATGATGGAGATACATACGTGGTTGTGTTTTACTGGTCATTCTTTTATGATATATCGATACCATAACAACAATGAAAAAATAGAAAAACAGATTTTACACTTAATTAGAAAATCATCCTTCTCAAAACAAAGGTGTCTTTAATTATCTTCATTATCCATTATAATCTTTTATGTAAAATTGGCGAGAGAAAATGGGGATAAATCATTATTTATCAAACAAAAATTCAAAACCCAAAGATATTTAATTTAGAATGATATAAAGCAGCAAATCTTAACACAAATCTAATCCTTTTTATGTCGTAACAAACATTAGTACCGTTTTATTTAATATATGGATATATAATTCTTGGCTTATGTGCATGCATATTTGTATGTCTGAGAGACAGAAAGGGTTAAAGAGAATATAATAAAACGATGAGACATACATACTTAATGCTGTCTGTGTGCGTCTTGTACTCCATGATGGTGTTGGGAGGTAGGTTGAGGACTCTGCGCAGGGTGTCTCTGATGCGGGCAGTGGTCGCCTGGTCACTAGCAGTTTTGTTCCAGATAGAGATGATGTCCTCCTGGAGAAGAGAAGCAGAGAAGGCGTGTGTGAGTATATTGACATAGGCAGTGTGTCACTAGCTGCAACAGGCGTGTGTCTGTCTGTGGGTTTACCTGGAAACGTACTGACACCACAGCCCCACAGATTTCCTCTCCAACCATGAACTGCTCCCCGAGCATGGCCAGGATCAGGTTCTCCCAGCAACGAGACGCCAAGCCTTTCCTCAGACGGATGATCCACTTCCCACCCATCTTATTGGCATCATCCTAACCACAACACAGACAGGATTTCAGAATGTGCTTTTTGTTTATTAAAGTATAATAAATGAGCAAATTAAAGTAGACTAAATGTATTAATATAAGATGCAGTCTTTAGCGTACAAGATACCAGCAAAAGAGAACCCACCTCCCACATGGGTTTAATACCCTCTTTGAACAGGTGGAAGTCACTGTGGCCTGTCAGGTCGCCTGGCCGTATCATGTGACTATAGAAACGCCAGAACTGCTCCACCTTGGAAAGGCCAGGAAATGTTTGTATCAACAACTGTCAGAGATTAAGTCAGCTTAAGCTTGTATTCATAGATTTGGTCTGTGTCTGGCTAAGGTGGTAAACAAAAACAAGTGTCCCCCTTCCCGTCTACCCTCTCTAAAGAGGTCATGAAGAAAGACATACCGAGGCAAAACTGCCAATCTGTTTAATGTTCTGTTCATAACTCTGAGTGCTTGCGGGTCTCCCTGGGGTGCGTCTGGAGTACCAGAAGGTGTAGTTGTACTGAAGAGGGTGCTCTCCTGCCCCTGGCACCACCATCTGCAGAAACCCAGAAAGTGACTTAGTCCTGCGATTAAAGCCGTTGTGGGAAATGTTGGAGAAATAGCAAGAGACAGCTAGATTTTGAAAGTATCCAACTGAAAAATCCCCCCCCTGCACGGGCAGAGGGCGCACATGTAGGCAGGTAGACAGGCAAGTGAGCCAGCTAATCATTTCTTGGTTCCAGATGAAATGACAGTCCTGCCACAGTCACAGATGATGATTTTTTTTCATTTTTGTGTCAGAGCATGATTTATTGATTACTGTCAGGATGTAAAAACTTATCAAAAACCAAAAATGCTTCAGAAATAAACTGCCTCCCCCAGCTTTAACATTGACTCTGCAGAGACATATGAGCTCACCTTTTTCTTGGAGGCGTTCTGTTCCTTATCCTCATCTTCAATTTTTTCCTTCTCACCGTCTTTCGGTGAGCCTTGGTCCTGGTCGTGGTCTCCACTGTCATCATCTTTCAGACTGGATTAGATGGAAACACAGGCAGCAAAACAGAAACATTTAAATTAAGGGCTACTCCCAACTCTGTTCTTTATTGGGCACACCTGACTAAAATCAATGCAGTCTAATACAACAGCCCTGCAATAGATTCTACATATGAAAGTTTTAAAGTCTAGTTATCGTTTAAACTGTTTAGGGAGGTGTCCAGTTAACTTTGTAAATTTGGAGGTTGTAGTTTCTGGTGCTGTAGATCTGTACAGCGTTATGGTGACAGGTATGTCTAATATTAAAAATGCACTCACTGATGATATAATAGATATGACAAAATATTAAAAGCACTTTCAACAAAAAAGGAACATTAATGAAGATAACGTTAGGCTTTATTGCAGAGCTGTTGCATTAAAGTGTATGTTTAAGCTAGGTTCACCGGATAAACTGTTGACAAAGTGAATATGCTTTTTCCTGTGAACTGCAAATATGTATACGGTTAATGATGCACACCTGCACTTAAAGTATTCCGGCCGTGAACAGCCTTCAACACTGTTAGCTATATGCACGTACTTCAGGGACATGGGAGTCTAGTTTGAGCCGAGATTGCGCGAACCTTCCACCGCCTCTCAACAACTACCACGCCGAGGACTCAGGGCCTGTCCGCCTTCCGTCAGGCTAAGCTACAGCTAGCAATACAGCTCATAGCCCAATATAAGATACTATTTAATCTCTGCTGGTACTTCCCATCGTTGTAAATGCACCTGTGCATGTGGACCTCACTCTCATGTGGGTTTATAAGCGCACACAGAGCATGCACGACCATGCAATAAAGCTGACACACCTCTCATTTACCATGCAACTGCTTTCATTAACGTTACGGTCCCCCGTGGATTTGCACTCACGACGGGGAGTCCAGTCTCTGGCAGATATTCCACACAAACTTTTGAATAACGGTACTCACGCGTCAAATTTGTTGTTCATTATTTTCTAGGTAGCAGCCTGTCGGAGTCCGACCACAACCTCCTGAATTCCGCAGGAACGGCGGCGCGCATAACCACGTGTACGCGCACGCCGTATGCTCTTCGTGGAGATGAGCTTGAGTGCTCAGGCACAGCTTTCTTCCCTTACCAAACATATTCATTTACACTCACTGGCAACATGCATGATTGAAACATTTAAAAAAAAAAAACGAAGCCACATCATTAGTTATGTTTCACATTTTATTTGTCACAAACCAAACATAATAAATACACAGCGCAGTACCACTCAATCAGTTAAATATAGCTTTGTTAAAGTCTCTTTCAACAGTGGCTCTAATGAATCTTAAACCCTGTGACTTCAACACGCAGACGCAGGTGCGAGCAGGCAGACACACACACACACACACACACACACACACACACACACACACACACACACACACACACACACACACGACCTCACATTCACAGCCTCAACACAAAAAGGACTGGCAACTTCTTCATGTGAATCGGTTTCTTCTGATGTGCCGCATCCTTCGTTTCAATCTTCCATCCATCCACTTGTCATCTGTTCTTGCGGCAACTTCAAACCGCGGCTCTGTTCAGGTCCAAGCAGAGCTATGGACCGAGTCTGGGGGGACAAAAAGGGAGTGGGGGGGGGATGGAGTCAGGAGCATAAGCCCCTTTTCCACTGAATGGAACCAGCTCAACTCGCCTCGACTCTATTCTCCTTTTTTGGTTTTCCATCAGGGAA